AAGTTAACTACGGAACGAAAATAATAAGTTTTATTTAGAATTAGACCTATTTAGCCGTTTGGGCTTGTTATATAATGTACAAATCTATATATATATTGACCTATAATGACCTATCATCTTGTCTTGATTTTATCGACAGTCCATTCTAGACTCAATAATTGAAACTGAATTTGCCATTTTAAAATCAATGATTTCTTTTTAAAACATCGTTTATATCCACAAGCTCTGCTTCAATTGCGTTTAAACTGTTTTTTTAATACAAGATTCTTCGATGAAATGATTAAAACTAATTATATATGTGTTCATTGAAAAAAAATACAATTTTTATATATTTGCAACAAAGATGCTATGTAAATGTGGATATTGTATAATTCTAAAATACTAGTAATGATTCTTTGCCCTCTCCCGAATTGTAATAAGAAATCATCATTGGATCAGTATAAGTAACTAGATTCAGTGTCATTGCTGAATTTCCAAAATGTATAAAAAATTAATTGTTAAAAGATGGTGTCTGATGTCTGAGACTCTGGTCGATATACGCCTCGTGTCGTGTCGGGGTACAAATTCTCGTTTTCTGCACCACTACATGCCCACAAAAGCTTATGGAATGTCTGAAGCCTGAAGTAGACTTATCAGCAAGTAAAACCAGACCGATAGATTTTCTCACAGGGTACACGACATACCGTGAGCACATGATCGAAGCGCTTCATTACGGACCTATAACAGGAATGATAGCGTGACCAGAAGACAGAGGACATCTTAATCAGAGTGTATGAAGGCCAATCAACGTTAGAAAGGCAGACCTCTCAATCAAAGAGAACATCAATTTCTGACACGAGAGTATAGCAGCAGAACTGTAGCTCTCCGAAAAAATATATATTGACAGACCAGGGAGTCCATCCGAATTTTTCAGACCAGCGAGCTACATATCTGCAGCTAACAAGAGAGAAGAGAACTGAAGAGGGGAAAAATATCCTCTCTCTCATTATAGAAACATATTACATGTAATTCATTTATTTCGAACCTTCGCTATAGTTGTGAACAATTTGCATGTATGAGGGATATGGAGAGAACGAACCGTATTCAAGATAAACATTCCATAAAACAATACAAAATAGGAGAAGAGCAAACACGGACCTCCAAAACATCAGAGGTGGGATCAGGTGCCATGGAGGAGTGAGCATCCCCTGCCGACAGGTCACACACGCCTTGTGCTCCTTGTCATGATCGGGATATAACGAATGCGGATATAACGAAAATCAGTGCATAACTAATGGACCTAGTTATAATTAGTATGAAAAACGTCAATCTGCATACATGTATTTGACTCAATGATAAATTGTATTTGCTGACAAGGTCATAATAGCTATTCGAATTTCATCACTTTTATTCATAATTTTAAATACAGTTAACCCTTATCCACGACGTGGATATGTTAACGAAATACATGTATCAAGAACATCGATAGTCTCCTTATCATGCACTTCATTTTTTTTTTTGAAATCAACAAGTGCTCAATTTGCAAAAGAAAAAAGATTAATTACTTTGCCCCCTTTTTTGTACCTTCAGCAAGCTCATTGATAATATGCAAACCTCATGTTGTCACATTGTAAATGTAACATTATGGGTGATGTAAATATGAAATGTTTGATTAACTTTAAATATTTAAAACGTGATTAATTGATGTAGTGTATGTGAATAAAAGGTTCATTTTAGCAGAAATTGGTGGTATGCCATTGATTGCATTCTACATCGTGATTACGGATGAATAATTAATCATGTTAAATTGTTAGTTGAATCAGATAAAGCGCCGTCCACTCTGATGTAAATGGAACCAATTCAATGTGAGACTTATTGCAGTAGGACAAACATTATTTTACCGTTGATTGTGCACTTCTGATAGAAAAATTCTAGTGGACATCCAACCAAACTTCAGATATATTAGAAAAAAATATTACTTCGCGTGTTTTTTCTTAATGATTTGATTTTGTCTATGAAAAGACAAAGGGAGGGTTCAAATACTTCTGTTGAATTCTTGAAATGTAGCTCGACGCAAAGCTTGATTTGCGGATAGAAAATTGCCGCTTATAAGTTTCTTCTTTGTTCCCCGCTTTAAGGGAGTGGACATAAAATTTCATTCGTTTGTCAATCTGTCCATATGTCACCAAAACTTAAAATACGAAGATATTTACAAGCGGAAATGTTTTTTAGGGGGTGGGGTATTTTATAGCAATGTGTGGAAAAGATACTGACTATTCTCTTTTTTAAAAATTTGAAAATAAAAAGGCGTACACAAATAAAGGAAAGAAAGAGAGAGGGGCAGCATTCGGCACACCATGGCCATTTCGCACCTTATTAACCGTTTGATGTAGGCGACAGAGTCATCCGAAGTTTGCCGGACAATAAAGGGAGAGCACTTAATACACGGACGTTAGAACTGACTGGCACCTGGTGTTTACGTATGATTCATATTCTGACCAGAGGAAATTAATACAGTAAAAAGCTGTCACTTAAACGAAACAATCTCCGATAGAATAATTTACAAATTACAATACAAGCAACACATTTTAATGGAGTTTCTTTCTTTGTTCATTGGTATAAATTCATCATTGACCTTTTAAACTACACTCAAAAAGATGCACATATAGATATACTTCCATCAACACACTTTTCCTCAAAATTTATCAGGGACCAATCACAACTTCTGTCTGTCTTGCATTTTCCACACTGGTTGATACCAGGAAACTGAATAACCATCTTTGAAATGACGCTCACAGAAAGGATAATCAAGTATGAATTAAAATACATAAATACAGTTTAGTTAAATAACAGCCATATCAAGAATTTACATTTTTTGAATATATACATAACACAATATCAAAGAACTTTAATACAGAATCAAGCGTTTTACAGAGCTAGTATTTATACAGCTGTTTGGACACGTCACGTGGTGATGGCGATGCGACTCGCGATGACGGTCGACTGGAACTCTTGCCCGTGACGATGAGGGGAGTGGTGGAGGGGGTAAACGTTTGAGATTTCGTCTGTTGTAGCAGAGACGCCTCCAAAAGATTACACTTCTTGTTACGGTCTATACTTTTGCTGTGTAGACACCCTTCAGATTTACTGTACGTGTTTAATAAGTTTCCGGGTGTCAGAACAATAATATCCTTACCGCCTATAGACCGACGATCGAGAACCGGAGATGGAATCTCTAAGCTGTTAGAACTTCCGGACCGGGAATTACTCTCCAGATATGGCGGCGGGGATTGTTGGCGTTTTGTCCAAGGTGGGGCTTTCTCTTCACATTTTTGTACAGTTATGTGAGGAAACATGGGCTTAGTTTTCCCCGTCACTGATTGAGAAGACACGTCCTCGGAAGGCTCAGCTTCTACAGCGTACTTCATCGGGGCGGGGGAACACAGCAGCTGACGTAATTCCTCCCCCTCCTCCTGCTGTTTCTGAGCGCGTCGTTCTAAAAGTTTTCCCGGATTTTTACAAAGTAGTCTTGAATCAGTTTTGGAGGTTTTATTGAGTAGTGATATTCTTTCCACTCTTGGGCTTAAATCCAACTCCGCCAGTTTTTCTGCCATTTGAAAGCTTTAAACACTCATTCTATTACACTCGTGACTTCAGTATTTTTATATGATGATCTCTAGTTAGAGCTTTCCCGGAAAGGTCGATATTTTTTTTAATTGTTGTAACACTTCAATTCGAACGGATCAAGAGCCCTGGGTTTATTTTAAACATCCTTAAATGTTTATTAACCCTTTATAATGTGTGAACAAGACTTTAAGATCAAAGGAACTTTTATTCCTCCAGTAAAGGATCTATATATTTCCTATTCTGCGCATTGTATGTATGTCCATACATTTTTTTTTAACTTTTGCGACCTGTTCTTGGACGGTCACAACTTCACTGTCCGTTTGTTTTATACCAGAATGGCGTGTTATGTATCTCCCCTAATAACAGGTATGATGCAGATCGATGCTTTACGCGGCTCCAAACTATTGAGGAAAAATCGATCAAGTTCGTCTATTTACTCAAATCGCTTGCTCTGGAATATAGCTGCTGATTGAACGAGGAGACCATGCCGGCAAGTTTATCAGAGAATTTTCCTTTCTCTTTCAAATTTTCTTGTCGTGCGCTCGACGTTTAATGGTTTTCAGATGGTCGTGAATTGCATCATTTAGCCATTTGACTTATTTGAGTGTCATTTGATGAGATTTCCCTCGTTAACCTTGGGAATACGTTGGAAATGTTTCAATAAAATGAGTCCCGTTTGCATCTTTTTGACAGTAATTAATTAATTTTAAAGTAAAACTGATTTTCTTCACCGAAGGTCGATGATCTGAAATTCCCAGAGGCATTTAGTGCAAACACAATTCCTATTTTGTGTCTGCTTTTAGATTTATTACAGAAACTATAATTTGGTTTCAACATTTATTTTATGTAGAAGCATTACCAGGTAATAACATTTCGAATAATTATTTTGAACACTGTGTGTATACAATGATTTAAACATAAGAGTTTCAATTATTTTGAGTAATTTATGGGTTTGGCAATTTTCATATTTGTGAGGTAATTCAGGCAAACAGGGACATATACATTATAAAGTGCATGTCCCTAACTGGCCTGCATAGCCAAACACAGACTGGGGCTTTGGAAAAGTGCAGAAGAAATACATTTTACCAAATGAATGTTTAGTTGCAAACCTATTGCGAGGCTATTAATACAAGAAGGTGACTATCTCATTAAAGGTAACTATCTCATCAAAAGTTAATATCTCATCAGTTGTGTCTGTCTCGGTAATGGTAACTTTCTCTTCAAACGTAAACTCGTGAAAGGTTACTATATCTCATTAAATTGATTATTTCATCGAAGTTAACTATCTTATCAAAGGTTTTTATCTCAGCAAAAGTGACAATCTAATCAAATGTAACTATCTCATCAAGGTGGCTATCTCATCACGTGACTATCTCTTCAATTGTAACCTTTAATTAGATAGTTACCTTGAATGAGAAAGTCATATTTGACGAGAAACCATCAAAGGTAACTATCTCGTTAAAGGTAACTATCTCATCAAAGATAGCTATCTCGTCAAATGTGACTATCTCTTCAAAGGTGACTATCTCATCAAAGCTAAATATCTCATCAAAGGTAACTATCTCATCAAAGGTAACTATCTCATCAAAGGTTACTGTCTCATCAAAGGTGATTATTTCATCAAAGGTAACTATCTCATCAAAGCTAAATATCTCATCAAAGGTAACTATCTCATCAAAGGTAACTATCTCATCAAAGGTAACTATCTCATCAAAGGCTACTGTCTCATCAAAGGTGATTATTTCATCAAAGGTAACTATCTCATCAAAGGCTACTGTCTCATCAAAGGTGATTATTTCATCAAAGGTAACTATCTCATCAAAGGTAACTATCTCATCAAAGGTAACTATTTCATCAAAGGTAACTATCTCATCAAAGGTAACTATCTCATCAAAGGCTACTGTCTCATCAAAGGTAACTATCTCATCAAAGGTAACTATCTCATCAAAGGCTACTGTCTCATCAAAGGTGATTATTTCATCAAAGGTAACTATCTCATCAAAGGTAACTATCTCATCAAAGGTAACTATCTCATCAAAGGTAACTATCTCATCAAAGGTAACTATCTCATCAAAGGTAACTATCTCATCAAAGGTAACTATTTCATCAAAGATAGCTATCTCATCAAAGGTAACTATCTCATCAAAGGTAACTATCTCATCAAAGGTAACTATCTCATCAAAGGCTACTGTCTCATCAAAGGTGACGATCTCATCAAAGGTGACTATCTCATCAAAGGTAATTTACTATCTCATCAAAGGTATAACAATCTCATCAAAGGTAACTTTCTCAGCGAACGATGCAAATCAATATAAACCTATGATTTTTATAGTTATATTTGTTCTTTTCAATGCTAATAATCAGATACAGAGGTAACCGATCATTAAAACTCGCGGGTGATATTGTTACCCATGTGTATTGCAATGTATATGTAACCATAGTTCAAGTAACCTGTATTACTTCAATACTGGTTACAAATTATAGGCTATTATTCACAGGCGCTTGTTTCATAAAGTATGCTAGGTTTATACTATATATATTCACACAAGAGCGCCTATATATGCTATTACTTTGTAAAGCTTTAAATAATGTAACCATTGTAATTACTGTGACAAGTAAAAAATTAAATAATTTTCTGTTAAGTAAACACTTTATTTAAAATACCCGTGTAGTTTTAATCTGTCGCAATTTTATCGTCATTGCCAAATTCTTCATTTTCCCTGAAATCCGTTTTATCTGCATTTAACTTTTTAACTCTTTTGGAATTGTATTCTATTACCGCGGGAAATTACGTAAACAAAAAAATCACTTCACAGACATATTACAGATTTAGAGATTATCATGAGGCAACTATGTTTTATCGAATACACGATGATTGTTTGACTTTCGCTCACTCGATCCCAAAGCTGTCCAGGTACGTTCTTTAAACAAAACTTGGATAACTGCTTAATTTTAATAATGGGATTTTTCTTCTTCACTGTATGGAGTGTACTCAAATAACATTTGAAAACCCATATACATTCGTATTAAAAGAGGTAAAAAGTTAAAAGTGGACAGTTAAGTGGTGTAGGATCTCAGACACACAGGGTTCTTTGTGGTATCCTTGTGGTAAAAAGACATGACATTAGGTAGGTGCGTGTCTTTCCATATCAGCAGTTTAACCTTCCGATTTCTTTTACTCTGTATCAGGTAGGCTTACTAGTATATGGGTGTCATGTTAACTGGAATCTGATTTTTTTTAGAAAGTTAGAGATTTTTTTACACTGAAAATAAATGTTGGTACTAAATAGAATTGTCAGGTGAAGAAGATTAGGCTCATTCGGCCAGAACATACCGCATTGATGATAGAACTTTCTATCTAGGGACCTCTGGCTTAATTGTCAATTAAGTGCGCTCTACAACTAACCTCAAGCAAGTAGAGTCACCCACTAGGGCTGCCACGATTAACCGAAATATCGGTTAATCGCGATTCACAATCTTTCGGTTCGATTCGGTACGTTTTTCCGGGATTTCGATTCGATTCAGGTTTGATTTTTTCATACTAACATTTGCTGTTGTTACGCACATTCCGATTGGTTAATCGGAAGAAATGATGGCAAATCATGTTAAAGTAAACAAAAACATGAAAATGGCCGCGAAGAAGTCGACGGGGGACTAGTCTAGGTCACCTACACGTTTGTTGCATCGATGCATGGTCTCACACCATGAGTGGCGACTTGCGTGACCTAGGCTACGGGGGACTACTTCCAACTTCCATTTTCAACAGAAAGATGGCACAGAGGACAAATAGATTTACTAAAAGGCAACACCCATCAGCCTCATAATTCTGAATTTAGAGGAACCGACACAGTGCTGCGAATTTCCTTATTTCTTTTCAATATTGAGATCGTTTTGAATGTGAAGTAATTATTGACATTCTTATTATGACAGTCACATAGATTTATATCGTATTGGTGAATCAAAAATTTAAATCACAGCAGGAATCTTACCATTTCTATTGTGGCCAAACAGCCTTTGAGAGCAAATCACCAATACTTATATGTTTAGCATAATAATTAATATGAAATCATTGGTTTTGTTTCAAAGATTTGTTCGCATGTTTCATCTTTTAAAACCGATGACCAGTATTTTTATTAATTTGGATTTCCGACATTTTATTCTTAGCATACTTGCCAACCTCCAACATGTAAAAATCTGGTCATGACCAGATTTGGAAAGTAAAAAATCTGGTCATAACGCGTAACGACATTCACGACATATTTACCATAATTAAATTTTATACATATATATACAAAGTATTTGTGTGTTGAGAATTCTTTTATTGAAAAAAGGTTTGATTTACTATGACAAAAAATTCATACATAATTTGATTTAAATTTACATGTTAAAAATGAAAATTGAAGGGTTCACATTTCAGTATTGACCTGAAATAAGTGTGCATTTTTTAAAGCCTTTTCAGTTTCTGCTAAATTTGAAAGTATACCAATTTCAGTTTTGAAGTTATTTTTCCTCTCTCTTAATTAATTAACTACTGCAATATGTTTTAAATGTAAAGTTAGACCTACACTGTATTCGATCACTTTATTTAATCTAGAATGAAAGTTTTTTCTTTCCAAGATTCCTTGATATGTACATAAATATCGTTTCTCTTTTTCTTGGTTCAATCAGAAACATGTGTTTGATTCAATTTGTTCCTGTTGGCCCTGATAACGATCTATTTCTATTGGAAGCCATTTTAATTGACTTCAAACATTGATTTGTCAAAACAACACCCAATTAATTGTTTACACCTGCACTGATAATTAATTCATCGGCATTGTTTACGTAGATCTAAGCTTGGGTTGTAACTGGAAGTTAAAAGTGCAACCTGTGTACGAACCAAATCCGGAAAATCGGGAGATTTTCGGGTTGTTCGGCAAAAATCGGGTGATAAGCATGACCCGCCGGGTCATAAAAAATAATCGGGTTACGGGTTGAAAAATCGGGTGTGACCTGACGAAATCGGGTGAGTTGGCAACTATGATTCTTAGGTCATACTTAATCTTTTTAATTAGAACATCAGGTATTTTCGTTGTTTTCTTGGCTTTACATTCTATTTTATCTTAATAAACCTTATAAAGTATGAATCATTATTTATTAAAGAATGTCTTATGATTATGATGATCAAAGATTACAGATTTTATACAAAAATTAAAAACAAAGATCTATTTCTTATAATCGAACCGAAATTATTCGAAAATCGAGGTTTTTGTTTGAACCGAATCAATTCGAAAATTTTCTGATTCGTGGCAGCCCTATCACCCACGTGGCGCAGTAGTTACAAAGTCTGCTTTAGAGTCGCAAAGTAAGGAGTTGATCCTTAAGTCGCGGATTCAAATCCCACTGTGGGACATGGAGACCAGTCCTTTGGATGAAACCGTTTAGACCAAGGTCCTGTATTGCAGTAGATTCTGGCACAAAAAAGATTCCTCCTTGCTTCATGGCCCTGAGTGCTGAGTACTGGACAAAATTTGCAGCTCTCTACCAACAAGTGGTGGTGTCTCCATATGAATGAAAAATTCTTGAGAGGGACATTAAACAATATATAATTTATCAATCAAGCTTTTAGAAATTAAGTCATATATAATTCAACACTATCACATTTACCATCATATTGTTTGCAGATTGTTTAAGACAAATTTAAATTATCAAACTAGAAACACAGACTCTGCTGTTAAACTGTAATCAATGTATGTTAACTCCCTTTGTTTTATTTCAGCTGAAGTAGACTCCACTTAGAGAGGAAGTATGGAGCGGGTCATTGCTTTGGTTGACATGGATTGTTTTTACGTCCAAGTGGAGCAGCGACTACACCCAGAGACAAAGGGTCTGCCCTGTGCAGTTGTGCAGTACAAGAAATGGAAAGGAGGAGGGTACACATCTAACAGCTGATATTGTGTCATTCATCCTCAAAACATCGGGGGTCCTGAGCTCACTGGTAGACGTGGAACCCCTGACAAACTTCATTACCTGTGTTATGGGCTGACATGCATTGATGTTGTTTAGTTATACCCCCCACAAACGAAGTTTAGGGGGGGTATATTGGAATCACCATGTCCGTCTGTCCGTCTGTCTGTCTGTCTGTCTGTAGACAAGATTTTGTCTGGACCATTACTCAGAAACTATTGGAAGGATTTGTTTGAAAATTTGTACACTTATTATTCACCATATGAAGTTGTGCACCTGATATTTTCATCTTGATTCGATTATTATTTTGAATTTAACAGGTGTTTTTTTTTCATTTTTATTTTGTGGTTTTGTCCAGACCATATATCAGAAACTATTGCAAGGATTAATCTGAAAATTTGTACACTTATTATTCACCATATGAAGGTGTGCACCTGGAATTTTCAACTCTTTTTGTTATTTTTTTTGCATTTTACAGGTTTTATTTTTTATTTTAATTGACTTGTTCATTTTGGGCTCGTATAAGGTTTGAGACATAGAATCTAGAATATCTGTACAAAAATACTACAGCTTAAAACTGCTCATAAAAAATTTAAAAAAAAGAAACAGCATCAAGTGTTAAAAACAGTTTTTACATTGCACAGAAGATAATGTTATTTCATTTGTCTCTTGGGAATAATGACTGGACATGCATCCAATTAAAGATAAATTAATGAGTTTGGTGTTGGAAGTTGTTAAGGCATATCTCTTATCAAGCATGTGTGTTTTCTAATCTCCAGGGAATAAGGCACAAGAATTAAAGATCTCTCTTCTCTTATTCTCTTAATTGTAATTTATTGTCTGTCAAAGCACTTCATTACTGGATGACCAGCTCTTTATTTTTAAAATGCATTTCAAATTGATATATCAAGATTAATTTGATTTTGTTTAATGGTTTTTTTTCAACAATCAGTTTGCAGAGTGACATAACACATAACTGCAATATATTTTTTTTAATGCAGAAATAAAAAAAAAAAAATGTTAAAATGGAATTACAATGTATTAGTATTGATGTTTCATTTGGTTGCACCTTTGTTTCATTCATTAAGAAACATGATGAGCAATTATATTTCACTGCAAATTTTTGTAAGTAAATTGTGAACACCACTAGATCCATAAAGTATTTTTGAATTGGCACCTTCTCTGAAAAACCCAGCGGGGGGTATTTGTCCCTATTGGACAGTTCTAGTTTTGGTTGTTTCTCTTATTGCTATTCTAATATTCTAAACCTTGAGTTTTAACTGGACCTTCTCTCTTTTCCAGTATTATTGCTGTTGGATATGAGGCCAGAGCAAAGGGAGTGACAAGGAATATGTGGGGGGATGATGCCAAAGCAAAGTGTCCAAACATTCACTTTTTCCGGGTCCCAGAAGTCAGGGGCAAGGCTGATCTTACCAAGTAAGCCGTTATCTTGCACTTAAGATGGCTTTCTGATTTTTTTTTTTTGTATCTTACCATGGGACTGTTTACGTCTGTAGATTTCGTGAGGCGGGCGCGGAGGTGATCGCTGTACTCAGTAAGTTCAGTGACTGTGTGGAGCGGGCCAGTATAGATGAGGCATACATTGATCTGACGGAGGAAGTGAGGAAGAGAATGGCGTCATCTAAAACTCGGGAGGTCTCCACGGACCAGCTGCCCAACACATTTATTGTAGGCTGGGGAGATGACAAGGATGGAAGTTAGTGTACTCACTATTGTAGATAGTAACAGCAATCTGGTTTTGTGGAATTCATTTGCTTGCTTTTTTAAAAGTTGTCACTGAGTTAAAAATCAATTTCTAAAATAATGTAATCTGTACACTAGTTTATTAGTCATAAATTTATATTAATAGGACATGTGTAGTTTGACGTGAAACGATTGTAGATATTTATTTGTTATATAAAATTTTAGCCAAAAGACAGCAAGGGGTGGATGACTGGATGAAGTTGTTACCATGTGACAGCGGTGAAGACAGCTCTGATCAGAAGCTACTGATTGGGGCACTCATAGCAGAGGAAATGCGGGTTGCAGTATACAAAGAAACTGGCTTCAGATGTTCAGCAGGAATAGCACATAACAAGGTACATAAATTAAGTGGCCTAGAGCACAGGAATAGCACAAAACAAGGTACATAAGTTAAGCAACTTAGAACACAGGAATAGCACATAACAAGGTATATAGATTAAGCAACTAAGAGCACAGGAATAGCACATTACAAGGTACATAAATCAATTATTGTTTTTGAAGGGGAATAACTTACCATTCTAAAACAGGCTGGAGATTTTTAATGGATTAATTTTAAATGTCAGTGACAGTACTTCAAGTAGATAAGTTGGTTTTTAGACATTTTGTATTATATTAGATTATATTATATACTAGATGTTGGCCAAGCTGGTGTGTGGACTTCATAAACCCAACAAACAGACAGTTCTACCCCACAGTTCAGTCCAGCAGCTGTTTGACACATTGCCCATCAATAAAATGTAAGTCAGAGGTTTGACACATTATCTACGGTACAAAACAATGTATTAAAATTTCAACAACAAAACAGTTTTTACAATTGAGCTGACAGTATTTCCTTTTTAAATTCCAATGAGATTGAAATGTCTGAGAACCAGAGGGAGATCTTTTATTGAACCTTTTGGATAACACAGGGACTCTTGACAGTATTTAAGGAATGAAGCTTATTTCAACTTATGTTATACAATATAACATAACTTGGGGCAGTTTACTTATAAATAAACGTTAACTGCCCAAAGTTTTGTTATATCGGATAACATAAGTTGAAATAAGGCCATAATTAAAATATTCTTTGATTCTCATCCCCGCCCGCCCCAATTTTATACCCCCGCCTCGATTTTTTTTATTTCTGTTTTTCTTCGTCTTAATTATATAGGAAAAATCGGTATTCATCTACCATTCTACTTTCGTTTTAAATCCCTGGGCCAGAAAAGTCGACATGATTTTGACAGCTGAAAAGATGGTTATTGCTGCAATACATGCGTATATATTTTAAACAAGGGTCATTGGTTGAAGAAGATTGGTGATGATGTGAAGTAAGAGATAATTGAACCTTTACTATGGCTTTTATTAGGGTATTGTAGATAAAATTACTCTGATTGACCAAGTCAATAAAATATCTGCAAAATTGAAAAATAAAAGATATAAAATAAAAGCCGCCCGCCCGCCTCGATTTTATGGCCTAAGCTTCATTTCTTATTTATTTAATTTCAATGTAGACAATGAGACAATATTTCCTCCAGAAAAAGGCTTCAAATTTAGCATTATTATAAAAGTAACATCAAGCAGAGTGATACGTTTTTGACGTAATTCATTGTGACGTAGGCAAGTTATGTTATAGAAAGAAATGGATTAAATCTTTTACCCAATCAAATGACGTGTAACAACTGAAATTAAATTATTACAATATATATTGAAATAATTTTATAAAATACAGGTAAATGTTATTAATGTTTTTATGTCCTTGTTTGTTACCCACAGACGAAATCTTGGTGGTAAACTGGGGCAGTCGGTGATGGAACAGCTGAACATAGAGAGGATGGGGGAGCTGTGTCAATTCCAGCTCACCACTCTACAACAAAACTTCGGCGACAAAACAGGGTACGATGTGATTGAATGCCATTAAATTGAATTCTCTTTGTATTATTAAGGAAACATGAACACACTGTCATTGTTTTGTGTACAATTTTGATTTTTTTAATTATACCCCCCCGCAAACGAAGTTTGGGGGGGTATATAGGAATCACCTTGTCCGTCTGTCTGTCTGTCCGTCTGTCTGTGCAATCGTGTCCGGTCCATATCTTTCTTACAGAGGGACATTAGAATCTACTACTCCACACTAAGATTGCTCATGACCTAATGGTGTGTCATGACCTTGACCCAAGGTCATTTGGGGAAGTTCAAGGTCACTGGAAGAAAAATTTCATAATTCGTGTCCGGTCCATATCTTTCTTATGGATAAACTTGGTAGGTTGTCATTTCACACAAAGATTGCCCATTACCCAAGGGTGTGTCATGACCTTGACCCAAGGTCATTTGGGAAGTTCAAGGTCACTGGAAGAAAAATTTCAAAATTCATGTTTGATACATATCTTTTATGGATAAACTTGGTAGGTTCTCATTTCATACAAAGATTGCCCATGACCCAAGGGTGTGTCATGACCTTGACCCAAGGTCATTTGGGGAAGTTCAAGGTCACGAAGAAAAATTTCACAATTCATGTCCAGTCCATATCTTTCTTATGAATAAACTTGGTAGGTTTTCATTTCACACAAAGATTGCCCATGACAGGGTGTGTCATGACCTTGACCCTAGGTCAGTTGGGGAAGTTCAAGGTCACTGGAAGAAAAATTTCATAATTCATGTCCGGTCCATATCTTTCTTATGGATAAACTTGGTAGGTTCTCATTTCACACAAAGATTGTCCATGACTGAAGGGTGTGTCATGACCTTGACCCAAGGTCATTTGGGGAAGTTCAAGGTCACTGGTAGAAAAATTTAATAATTCGTGTCCGCTCCATATCTTTCTTATGGATAAACTTGGTAGGTTCTCATTTCACTCAAAGATTGCCCATGACCCAAGGGTGTGTCATGACCTTGACCCAAGGTCGTTTGGGGAAGTTCAAGGTCACTGGAAGAAAAATTTCATAATTCGTGTTTGATACATATCTTTATTATGGAAAAACTTACTTCTGAAAAACCCAGCGGGGGGTATTTTGTCCCGTTTGGACAGTTCTAGTTTTTATTGAAATTTGTTTCTTTCTAATAAGAAAGTTCTCTATACTCAATGAGTCAATAACAACAGCACTATTTAAAACCTTATACACCAAACCCTTCTGTATGTTAATTTTTGGTACAAGCTCTGTTATTGTTTACGTTGTGGTGAATTTGCTGACATACATTGTTCACATCACTGATCATAAACTGACGACGTGCACTGGTGTGTTGGTATTGCTTTCTTGCAATATGCAAGTCATAAAATTCTACCAAAAATTTTGAGGTTTATAAATTTTTAATCTGTTTTGATTTGAACAAATTTTATTGATCAAATCAAATAGATTAGAAACAAGTTCTTACAACTTACTAGTTCCTCTCCATAAATATAACAATATGTCATGCAAATACATTGTAATACATTAAAATGTAATATTTATCAATCTGTGTCCATGCCCCTCTAATAATCTTAAATGGCTTTGCTATACCAAGTAAAAATTATAAGGAATTTTTCAAAGATTTTCAAGCAAAATATGGCATTACAAAGTTCCTGTAAGGCCCCACAATTATGAAAGAATATTACTGCTTGAAAAAATCTCTGTGATGATGCAAAGCCAGATATTGTATCCATGTAAAAGTGCATTTAATATAATGATTTGATATTCTGTTCCTGAAATTGTGAGGTAGTGATAATGTTGAATTTTACAGGGCCTGGTTGTACGAGGTTTGCCGGGGAGTAGAACATGAACCAGTGTCTGCCAGACAGCTGCCCAAGTCCATCGGATGCAGCAAGAACTTCCCAGGGAAAACGTGTCTGGACACAAAAGATAAAGTAATCAGCTGGCTTTCTTAATATATTTGTGATGATTTAAAATGTACTCTGTTTTTATCAATGTATGTGCTGTTGAGGTGATTTTGAAGTCTAGATGGTGATTGACAAACCTCTTATCATATTATTTTTGTTACAGTTGATACACTAGTTGCTATTATTGATTATTATGCTTCCTGTCAGTTTGTCTCTATATAACCCATACCCTACTATTCTCGCATAGTGGTCTAAGGATTTATATAGCGTAAGCATACTATGCACGAAACACACACGGCTTTATCTTGTGAATAAAATTCATCAATGCACACACCGGGAATCGAACTCACGACCATTGAGGTTTAAAGTCCGATGCCTTTTCGATTACGCAACAGAGACGATCACTGATTGGCAGAATTTTATTAAATATATAAACTTAATTTATACAATTGACACCTGAATGAGTGAAAATAGACAAATATTATTTGAAAACAGTTACATTTATTTATGAAAGCTTCGATAAATGTGTACAACAAAGTTTCAAACTAATTACATACAGATCGTTAGATGAATTGATATTCTGGTCATTAAAACGCTTTTTTATATAGCGCTTGATTGAAATGTAACAAGAAAATTATCAATGAGAATCCACGTAATGTAAACAAATCAGTCTTACTAAAAAAACACAAAATAAAGATGAGTATCTTTGGGACAGAAAATTCTGACTTATTTAGAGAAAATACTAGTAACCAAAATAAATAAGCATGCAACTAATTTTAGCATGAAGATTTTGAATGAGTTTTTGCAAGTGCGCTGTGTTACCACCATTATTTTCAGGAAAAAATCAAATGGATTGCCGCATAAATAATAACAACAGTCAGCATAATAATAACAATAGTGTTGCATTATGCATGTACTATGCCTAGCTACAGGCAGGGTTTGACACATAGTGCACTCGCCTCCGGCTCGTGCACCATGTGTAAAAAACCCTATTATATTTGAAAAAAGTGTAAAAGTAGTGCTGATATATACTAAAGCTAAGTGTTTAAAAAAAAATTAATTATTTCTTAATGATAGCATTTTAATACCTTTCTTTGTATATAAGAGTTACAATACAAATACAGTATATCTGGAAGAGAAATCAATAGAATGTATGTTTGAGCAATTATTTGCAATTGAAAAATATGATGGACTACTAATAGGCGCCACTGTACATTATTTATTATTCAGACACTTTCTCTTAATGAATCAGAATGCCTTGTTTCAAAATCACCATCAACAGGAAGTTGATCATGTTGATAGGTTGTAGAAGATATTATTATTTTCCAGTAGAAGTTTTTGATTGTAAGTCACAGACCATTTTATTTTTGTTTAGGTAAAGTTCTGGTTATCAGAACTCTCTAAAGAAGTAGAAGAAAGGCTGATTAAAGACAAAGAAATGGTAACTATAGATTGCTTTCTAAGATTAGAATATGATATGATTTGGTGTTCATGTCTGTCTGTCTATCCATTTTTCTGTTATTTTTTATTGTCCAGCTCATAACTGATCATGACGAGGAAGGGGGGGGGGGCTGTATCCAAAAAGTCTTTGTGCAGATTTTTTTGTCACTTACCTGTAAATATTTGAAGATCCGAGTTACTGGAAACCTCTTTTTTTTCTATTTAGTATAAGGATATTTTAATATATGACAATTTAACTGCTTCTATCCAAAGATTAATGATTGAGTGTAGTGGAATAAGGCTAGATTTGAATTCTAATTGACCATTGTAACATATGATGTTTCAATACCATTGATTAGATACCGGTATCCAATAAGAAAAATATTTTTACTGTAAAGACCCTATATTGTGTACTTTATGTTCTAACTCCTAATGTCAGTTTGTGTGACCTTTCAGAATAATCGTGTGGCTAAGTCTATGACGGTCAGTGTGAGATACATGAGTAACCCTTCCCCTGTCGTCGCCAGTCGAGCCTGCGCTGTCACTAAATATGATGCCGAGAAGTTTGCCAGTGATGCCTACGCCCTGATAATGAAACTGAATCATGCTCCAGCTCATCAGAGTGCTTGGTATGTATGATAATATCACAGAAAGACAAAGATTAATTAAATCTTTATTCAATCGTTTGAAACATTTAATAAGCTTTACTGTATAGACTTGCCTATAAGTTGGATTTTTGGGAGTTAAATTTGTTCCAAAACTCTATGTCTGACTTATAGGCGAATTTTTAAAAAGACTGGTATTTTAGATGGTTAATCATTCTAATATAAGCTTAAAAATACAATCGACTTATAGGCGAGAATATACGTTATATTTGTTTTTATCTCCATATAATATATGCTGATTGAAATCAAGAGATAAATTGAAAGTATATTCACAGGTACAAAGACAAGATAAAAAAAATTCTGAAAGAGTAAAATACATAAACTTGATGTTGATACACATCAGTAATCAGTTTTTACGATGTATGATTTCCAGGTCTCCCCCTATTCTGTGTTTAGGAGTGTCCGCCACAAAGTTTGTTGATGAGAGTACGAACCAATTAACATTGTCATCCTTTGTGGGACAGAAGACATCCAGCTCTATATCAGCAAGTCAGACACAAACCCTGCCTGTTAAATCAGAGACTAAATCCATAGCCAGCTTCTTTAGGAGAGGAAACAACAGTTCAGCACTAATGTCTAATCAGAAGGAAAGTACCAGAGACCAACAGATGAATTCTCTAATACATGAACCAGGGGATTCCTCTTCAGGGTCCTCTCACACTTATAAGCAATCTCAAGAAAATGAAAGTGATTTATATTTACGAGAGAAAGATTTACCGCTGAAGAGTTTAGACTCTACCTCCGATCAATTGATTGACAATGAGAGAAACCATAGTCCATGTGGATTTTTTGCGAAAAGAAAATCAAAAAATGGTTTAGTTTATAATTTGTCACAAGATTCAATTCCTGTTGGAGTACAAGGAAGGAAGCAGACAAACTTTGAGGATAAAAGCGAAATGAACAACAGCATTGAAGATGCCAGTATGGAGAACAGAATTTCCCAGAATTCAGTTGATCCTGACTTTTTAGCAGCACTTCCTCCTGATCTGAGACAGGAAGTTCTAAGTCAAGTGAGTCCTGCTCCACCTGTAGATAAGGAACCTCTAGTGCAATCCCAGAGAGGCAGTACCAGTCTGGAGAAATATCTAAACAAACAAGATCCTTCAAATATGGAGGATTCACCAGAAACAGGAAAGGACCTGGTCGTTTGCGAGAAGTGCAATAAACAGATTGAGGCATCTGAGCTGCCAGAGCACATGGACTATCACTTTGCCAAGGAACTTCAGAAAGAACTGTCTCAGACCTCGGATACAAACAGTGGACTTTCAGTTCAAAGTAGTGGGCAGAGGAAAAGATCGCTAGGATGTGGTAGTAAATCTCCAAAGAAAGTAACAAAAAAGTTAAAAAATAACGCAGGACAGACGCAAACTATATCTCACTTTTTCAATAAAAACTCTGTCTGATTTTATGTTTCATTTCTTTCAACAAAACGCTTCGTTTGTCAGTGCAAATAATTGAGAATGGTTATGATATTGAAGTGTAGTATAGAAAGAAGGAATGAGTAAATATACATTGAAAATTCATAAATACATAAGGAAAAACGTGTGGCTCGATCGGAAATCAAACCCAAGTGCCCTGTATTACTAGTCAGGTGCTCTAACCAATCCAGGCCGATGCCCTCAGTCCAGCCTAAATTCCTTCAGCGGGAAAACATGACCCTTGTATTACTGTCCTTTTTTTTTTTAGCTCACCTTAGATGAAGGCTCAAGTGAGCTTTTCTGATCACATTTTATCAAGCTTCTGACAGTATGGCTTACTATAAACTTCCTACATTTTTGACTTCGTCATAAGAACCACTGAGCCAATTTCAATCAAACTTGCCACAAAGTATCCTTGGGATAAGGGGATTCGAGTTTGTGCAAATGAAAGGCCATGCATTTTCTGATACATGTAATTACAAATTCGTGAAAAATTAATGGCATCTTTTGAAAACCTTCTTCTCAGGAAAATATGAAAGAATCCTCCTCAGGTAGGGTAGATTCAAGATTGTTTAAATCATGTCCTACAGGGTTGGCTCTGGCTACAGTGGATGATCAAAGATTTGCATGGTAATTTATTGGAAAAATCTCTAAAATGTTCTTAAGAGCAAAGCCATCATTAGTCATATTTATATGGAAATATCCTCAGATACTGTAGGATCGAGTTTGTTCAAATCATGACTTCCAGGAGTAGATAGGGGATATAACAGGGGGTCATAATTATACAAAGGAATATTAAGAATATATCTTAAGAAATTTTCATCTTAAGAACATTAAAGCCATTATTTTTTGTCATATTAATTCAGAAGCATCTTACTGGTAGGTAGTGTTGATTCATTTTTTTTTAACTCGCATCAGTAAAGCTAGGGGTATATGATACTGTTTGCGTCCCAGGTTAAAGTTGTTGGAGCAGTTTTCTCTTAAAGTATACTGCAACGCAAAAGAAATGCAACAAGCAGTAAGAGCTAAATTCACGAATGTGCTAAATCGGCCTAATGATTTTAGGAAAAATAAAGTGAGGGGAAGAAGAAAATTATTTACGGAAATATTATCCTTAGGTATCAAACTTGAATAGTTTACGCCAAAATTTTCATTTGATGACGTCATATTTGTGCAGAAAACACGTAAACTTTGCCACTTTTTATCAAAATTTAGCATTTTTTCAACTTTGATTCAAATTTTTGCTGTGGCCACACCCAGTGGCGGAGTTAAGGGGGGGCGCCCCCCCCCCCTCCCTAAAATTGTCAAAGTTAACGTAAATCACAGTTTCGTCTACAAAATGTTAATATGTATACTCGGTAGACCTCATTTTTACCCTACAAAATCTCTAGAATCCAGGAATCCCAGACCCCTTGCCTACTTTTGGCGCCCCCCCTAACTTCAAATCCTGAATCCGCGCCTGACACCCTTTGAACAAAATAAAATTCACACCATTAAAAAGAAAATTAAAAAATGAACAAAGAGAATGCTGTTTTATTTTGTTCGAGGGGTGTGGCCACATCGAAATATTTAATTTTCGTTCGATTCAAATCTCTTTGCACCGTCCACCAAAGTGGAAATAATGGGGGTTACCCAAATCAATTAAAAAGAATCAATATTATATGTTGCTTTTGTAAATTTTAATTAGTTTTTAAATGCAAAAATACCATTTATTATAAGTTATTTTGTGTTGTGGTGCAAAAAAAAGTACGAAAGTCTCTCGGAGTCTCTATATAAGCATGACTGCATGAATATGCAATAATGGTGACTCATTCCTAACCCAAGACTTTTTAGTCAAGCGCAGCTGATCTAGGTTTACATTATCATTGATTATGCTGAAATATTTTTTTAAAAAATGGATACTCTTTCCCCCAAATCTTATTTATTTTACAAACAATGTATTGATGTATTATCTTCCGATCTCGTCTCTTCTTCCGGTATAGTGAAGGGCCGCTGCTGCGGCATATTCTCACTATGTTTAAAAGCGTGTATGTGAGGGGAGTCCACGCATCTATTTACAATATTAAAAACTGATAAAAACATGTCCTGCATGATTTATGGTGTTTTATATCCCTGAATCCTGGTCTTAAAGGACTCCAGGGACATGGCCGTGATGGTGTTTTCTGGCAGCTGGTTCCATATCCTGATGGTAGTAGGAAAGAACGATTCCTTGTAGACGTTGGTACGGCAGAATGGGATCCTGTACCGGTGTTGGTGTCCCCTGGTGGCTGCTCCTGTTTGGCAGAATTGGGGAGGCAGGTCTATGGCAACAAGGGAATGGACAACACGGTACATCATAATAGCCTTTGCTTTAATTCTGCGTTGTTGTAGACTTTCCCATTCTAGCCTGTCGATCATCGTTGTGACACTACTGGTGGTGTTGTAGTTATTGGTCACGAACCTAGCTGCCCTTCTTTGCACAGCTTCTAGTTTGTCGATGTTTTTCTTTGTGTGAGGGTCCCAGACAGTGGATGCATATTCTACCTGGGGTCTGACCAATGTCTTGTAACACTTGTCCTTGATGTTGCTGGGACAGGACGAGAGGTTCCTCCTTAAAAAGGCAGTGGTGTTGTTTGCCTTCTTACATACACTATCAATATGATGGTTCCACGATAGGTTGTTGGAGATGTTGACCCCTAGGTACTTGGCCTTGGTGGTAGTGGCTAGCTCCTTCCCATGGATGTAATATGGGGTTATGCGTTGCTTCCGTTTGGTGGTGATACGGATAACCTCGCACTTGTCTGGGTTGAAATGCATTAGCCAGTCTGTTTCCCAATCTTGGAGGTTGTCAAGGTCCGTCTGGAGTTGTCTGGCGTCCGCCTCTGTAGTGATGGTCCTATACAGAAGGCAGTCGTCCGCGAATAACCTGGCCTTGGACCTCACTCTGGAGGGTAAATCATTTATGTATGTCAGGAATAGCAGTGGGCCGAGGACTGTTCCTTGGGGCACTCCAGATGTTACCGGTGCGGTTGGTGAAAAATGGCCCTCGACCAATACCTTTTGTGTTCGTCCGGACAAGAAACTCCTGATCCAATTGAGTAGGCTGCCTCGTACCCCGTAGTGGTCTAGTTTGGCTAGCAATCTCTCATGTGGGACCTTGTCAAATGCTTTGGAAAAGTCCAGTAGCACTGCATCGACCTGGGTGTTGTTTTCAATACTCATGGCGAGGTCCTGGATTGTTGTTATTAGTTGGGACTCACAGGATCGCTTCTTCCTGAACCCATGCTGGTAGTCGGTTAGGATACTGTGATGCTCGAAGAAATTCATCAGGTGGCTGTGGATGATGTGCTCTATTACCTTGCAACACACAGAGGTCAGGGACACAGGACGATAGTTTGCAGGTTTGCTCTTATCACCCTTCTTGAATATAGGCGAGACATTCGCGGTTTTCCAGTCCTCAGGTGTTTGACCTTGGTCAATGGATGCCTGGAAAATCTTGGTGAGTGCTGTTGTAACAGGGTGAGCAATCTCTTTCAGAAATCTAGTGGAGATCTCATCCGGTCCAGTCGCCTTATTGGGGTTGAGTCCTTGCAGGAGCTTCAATACGCCCTTCTCTGTTACTCTAATGTCAGGTGCCGATGGGGTGGAACTAGTGCCTAGGGATGGAATATCGGATGTATCCTCTGTGGTGAACACTGACAAAAATTGTTGGTTCAGGAGAGAGGCTTTAGTTTGTGGATCTCCATGAAGGTTTCCGTCAGATCGAAGTGGAGCGATCCCAGCACTGTCACACTTCTTACCCTTAATGAAGGAGTAGAGTTTCTTACTGTTGGAATCCTCCTGCACCATGTCTGATACGTACGAGTTATAGGCACTTTTGCATTCATGTTGGGTTGATTTCTGCAGGCGCCTGTATCTCTGTCGATCCTTATCCTTGCCTAGCTGATCTTTTATATGTGTTGTAAGCTCTTCGTCTCCATGGTCACTATGTAATCAAAGGGAGATCACCCGAGAATCTTGATCGTCACCAAGTCGGAATTAGTCCTAGAATATATATTTTTAACATAAACAATTACATCGGTAGCAACATAGACCTAAAACAAAGGGATTCGATTTAGGTCTATGGTAGCAACTACCAGGATGTATATATAAACTGAAAAATTATTGTTTTACCCCTTTACAAAACACAAATTGTGTATGTCGTGAAGTCTGCATCGACTGGCTTCATATGATAAAAATGATTTACGTGTGGCTGAGTCAAGATACAAGCGCACAAAGCCACAGGCCCTATAGATCGAAACCAACATGCATTTCAGAAACTGCTGTTTGCATTTCAAGAAGACCGCTTAATTTTAAAAAGCTTATTATTAAGGCCAGGTAAAATTAATCTTTAGATTCTCATCCTAATTTGCAAAAAAATTGGGGCGGGTGGGCGGATTTTATTTTTTATTTTTTATAATTGTTAATTTATATATAGGCCTAAGTATCAACAAAACAATGGACGCCCCGTACACATTTTTTTCATTACCTTAATGCAAATATGAATAGATTTAATTCTTTTCATATATTCTTTTAAATATTTAAAGAATTTTTTTCTTTAAAAGTTAAATATTTATTGCTAATTAACAAATTATTAAGTACACATTATAGTACTACGGCACTCCCTGAACAAAATGAGGTGGGGATACTAATAAATTGTGTATGCGTGACTTCTTGTTTTGCAAAATCTATATAGATGTTCTAATAATTATTCTACTGAAAAATCTAGGCCTTCTCTTAAGTCTGTCTACGATGTTGTAGATTTTTTTTTATTTCAAAGCTAAGTCACACAGCTGGAGATTGTTATATATAACTTGACTTTCCTCGTCTATTTTTACTTAGTTACAATCTCGATCTCTACATACTTGCTCCTGCCAGTGATGGTATCTATATGTGTTTATGCTATTTTTTCTTCTCTGCCTTCTCTATACCGACAAATTCTCTTTTCCTTACACATTTAAACTGCTTTTATTGCCGATTTTTCTCCATTCTTTACATGGCGTTTTTGCTATAAAAAGCGACACGCGACTTTTAATACAGACGGGAGATAACTCTAAAACTTTGACCCAAATTCTTACTGAATAAAAATACATGAAAATACCCAAAAATCAAAATAAAAAACATCGGGGCGGGACATTTTGAGAGGGGCGGGCGGGGATGAGAATCTAAAGATTAATTTTATATGGCCTAAAATATTTTCCGATCCTAGAGTTTATAACATATATAGGCCTAGCGAAGTATTGAACCTAGAAAATTCGAGTTGAAAATTCAAATAGATCTATTGAAATAATGTATTGATTTTTGATCGCGTGTAATTTTTGTGATGGACAATGTACATTGTAAAAACGAATAACTTACTACATGTACCGAGATAGTGACAGCTCTTTATGGTTGCAGGTATATTTTTTCTGAAAAGAAGTTCTAGATAAATTAGTTTCAAAAGACACAACGATTTCTTTTTCCATATTTTTCAAAAGAACATCGGCGTTGTCACATGACAAAGATTCATGATATTAGCACGTGAAGTTAGTTTCGTTTATTATATATCTACTGAATTTTCCCTATATAAAATTAAGTGATTAGATCTGAACAATTCCATAAAAATCGCTGTGAATCAGCTAATCCTCGTGCGTTAGTTTTTGAGCTAATCTGTTCGTCGATAGCTAGTCATGCTAATCCTCGTGCGGTTTTTTTTTAGGTCACCTGAGTAAACTCCGGTGACCTATTGCTATCTGTTTTCGTCCGTCGTCGTTCGTCGTGCGTTAACATTTGAACATTTTCAGCTTCTTCTCTGCAACCACTGAACCAATTTCAACCAAATTTGCCACAAAGCATCTATGGGTGAAGGGGAACAAAAATTGTGAATTTCATGATCCCTGCCCCCCTGGGGCCTGAGGGGTGGGACCAAAACCACTAAAATTAATGCAATCTTTAAAAATCTTCTTCTTTACTCCTGGACATCAAGCAGTCAAACTGTTTGCATGATTGTAATAAGCAATGAGTCCTCTACCAAAATTGTGAAATTCATGGCCCTGGGGTCAGGGGTTCTAGTGCTAGGGCGGGGCTAAATAAGAAGTTAGTGAAAATGCATTATTTCTTTGAAAATCTTCTTCTCTGCTCCTGGGTATTAAATAAACCAACTAAGTACATAGTTATGATGAGCAAGAGTGCCTCTACCAAAATTGTGAATTTTATGGCCCCAGGGTCAGGGGTTCTGGTGTTAGGGCGGGGCTCTATTGATTATATAGTGAAAATACATGAATTCTTTGAAAATCTTCTTCTCTGCTCCTGGGTATTAAATAAACTAATTAAGTACATAGTTATGATAAGCAAGAGTGCCTCTACCAAAATTGTGAATTTTATGGCCCCAGGGTCAGGGGTTCTTGTTTTAGGGTGGGACTCTAATGATTACATAGTGAAATGCATGAATTCTTTGAACATCTTATCCTTTGCTCCTGGTTAATATGCTAATGATCTAATTACATATTTAAGGCCAGGATTTATTTTATTTTCAGTTTTACAAACCCTCTGCTCAAGGTTTTGAATTTTCAGAAAAAATAAAACAATTTTTTTCTTTCCGATGTCAAATTTGAGTCGGGATCGAGATTTTAAATTTACGAACTCGCACTTCCGTTTTTACGATGAAACGGTGGCCGGTGGGTAAATAAAGCTAGATCTGAGAAGATAGTTTGGTTTAGTGTAAAATTCATCGATAAGAGTGCCATTCAAAACGTTTCACCCGTTCAAAGGACAAATAAAATGCTGACGACTTTGTTGCACAATGACATGCTGGTGAGATAATTATGTATTCGTTTCAAAAGTAACTGTAAATTATTTTCCTCCCCCAGGTTTTAAACTGCCCGTGGTAGCTATTGCATATTGCCAGGGACATTGTTTAGGTCTCTGTTATAGCTTACAGTCTAAGCACCATTCTTCAGAAAAGGGTTGCTTATGCATCAGATGTAATGAATAAAATTATGGGAGAAGTGAAGTCCATTTGAGGAAGAAATAAACAATAACCTGAAGAATTTAAAAAATTCAACTATTAAAAGGCAAGAATATACAAATATATACAGGCATGTAGTATCATTTGTATCAGCCAGAAAAATTATTTTACACTTAATTGAAAAAATGTTGACCCTACTCCCCAATACTCCCTGTCTGTTTTATGATAGGAATTATAATTTTAGGCATCAAGTAAATTTTAGAACAATGTCTACACATTCACCTAACACATATTAAAAAAAAAATTGAAGATATATTGAAAGACTTTTAAAGAATTGATTTTTTAAAATATATTTTGATCAACATCACAAAATTTATATAACTGGCCCAAACTGACAGATGATGAAATAAGCAATTAAATGTTCTACTTTCCTATTTGTAAGCATTATGTGTCCAGTGGTAAGGAGCCTATTAGGATAGCATAAAAAAGAATGTACAAATGTTAATAATTGATTTATCAAAAAAAAAAATTATTTCCTTCTCCTTCGGGACTTTTTTATTCTCATGTTCATAACTAAACCTAAACATAAAAAAATGCTGGCCTTATAATGAAGGGGCCTCTTTCAAAATAGATTATTTCAGGGCTGCTGGGTCAGGGGTACCAGGGGGGTACTTTGACTAATAAAATAAATTAATGTTTTGAAATCTGCCCTTTGATAAGCAATGGTGCCTTTTTCAAAATTTGTGAATTTCATGGCTTTTGGCTTAAAACACGAACCAAATACAATCGCTGGAAAGTTGTTACATGATACTCAGGTGACCTATAAGGCCCGTGGGCCTCTTGTTTTTTTTTTTTTTTTGTTGTTGTTTTTAGGTAATCCCTCTGTCGAAAGCAAGGCATGCTAAGTCGCAGTTATCCGTGATCCTCTAGTTTTTCAATAAATATAAATCTTATTCAGTTATGAGAATATTGATTAGTTATATAATCTGTAAATATTAATTTTTTAAACCCCCCATTTCAATACGCACATGTTGCAGTGTATTCAAAGAAGAGGAATTGTAGATTTTTAAGATAAAAAGTGGTACTGAGAGAAGTTTGATAAAATTTTTCACTTTGATTATATAACATTTTTATTGTTCATTGGTGGATTAATTTCAATTAAGTAATTTACATTAAATAATTGGATTACGTGGTATTTCCGTTTAACCATCTTCTCAAGCCCTTAGCTAGCGAATGTGGTGGTTATCTTGTGTTTTAACTTTTATAATTTTAATACTTTGGGAATCTTGTGTTTTCGTTTTGTTCTTTTTTTAAAACGAAAAAGCCAATTTTTGCTGCCGATTTGATGCTTTGCAGCAACAAAAGGGGGCACTTTTTCCCCAACATTACCTTTACTATTGAAAATGTTTATTGAAAGGTTGCCCCCCCCCCCCCACTTCTTACCATAGTAAAATGATATCAGGGAAATGTAGCATTGTTTGCAAAACAATTGGTAGTGAAAGAAAATTGACATTGAAAAAAGTTGCCCCACCCCTCCCCCACGAAATAGGATTTTCGAGTTTGAGTAATTTTTTTTTTTTTTTTTGCTTGTCAACTTTAATTTATAGGTAAGTGAAAAAAAATTCTCAGGCCGCCCCCCCCCCCTTTCAAAGACGATGAAAAGTTAATTATTCAAGTTGGCCACTTGAAAAGTGAGTTTACCCTTACAACCAAATGGTTGAATTTTTTATCAAATGATTTTCAAAAAAGAATACAGTAAGGGTAAACTCACTTTTCAGAACATCAGAGATTTGACATGTTAACTGTTTATCTTTTAACTTTACTAAGTAACATATGACTGTTAAAACACCCCATCCCAGTCATTCAGTTACAATGTACAAGACTGCGCTAAACAACAATTGCAGCTTAATTAATTTCTACGATACAATAGGTTAATCAATATCGAGATCTGAGCGAAGGAATTATTCTTTGCCATTTTTAAATGCACGTTTTTCAGATGATTAGGTCGAATTTTTTCAAACTTAGCGCATTGTGGTAACCCTTGGACTTCCGGTCCACGGATTATCATTTATGCATATGATACGTAAGACCCCGTTGTGTATTTTTGCATCATCAACTCTCCATCACCTTTACTTTGAGATTTTCCAGCTAGAGCAATGGAATTGCGTACTTAAGCCACTTTCAAGAAGCCTAAGCACCTTTACGGGAAACGAAAGGAGATTTAATTTTTTGAAATATTGCTGCATTACTTAAGATGAATTAACATGCAATTTTTGATTTCTGTTAAGCAGACTCAAACTTGACTTCCGGTTATGGTATGAAAATCGTTTAACCGTTAAATTACCGATATTTACCAAATTGAAGATATCAATATAATTTTAAGATACAAAATTATTTACTTTACATAATTATTTCCCCCTTAAGTAGGGTGTGGCGTTTCTACATCAATGTGAGATGTATGTAAAATAGGGTTCAGTCTGGGTCCTATTTTACGAAAGAACTTAATAAGATTAACATCAAAATCTTATGCAAACAACTTTTCTCTTTGCATTACCTTGAAATTTTTATGCTAACAATTCATAACCGAATATATTTGTTTTGTAAGATTTTACAATCAACCAAAGTTTATTGTCAAGTCTTAGGTTAAAAACAACTATTGTAGGTTCTTTACTATCCAGACAGAATGGAGACGTTAGAGGCAAACAATTATGTCCAGTAATTACTCAAAACATTCATTTTTTAAAGATTTGGTAAAGCATTTTTTTTTTTTTGCAATAAAAGTTGGGCTGAAATATCATTTTGAAACCAAGAACTTCTTGGTGAAAGCCGCTGTAGATTTAATTTGGTAAGGTAACTATGGTGCGATAACCATTTGAATTTAATGCATATGTCTGTTCATATTTTTAAATGTGTGTAAAATGTATTGACAAATTCAGTAAATGTAAGTATTAAGCAGAATAGGAATTTCAGGTACATGTTGTTCTTAAAATTAAGGAAATACACGTAATTACTGATTATACTGTGGAATATGTATAATTATAAGGATTAAGAACGGAAGACCTTTGTTCGCAAGAACATAACATCTAGTTTAAATTTAATTTTTACATTGAATACATATATTTAAATTAGTCTGTTAAAAACTTCACAAGATGACTTAAACGATTTTGAATCCTGAGAACGAGGAACGAAACGAAACGGTGGTGCAGTTTGCACTGGCTCTGATAAAAGTTTGGTCATTGATATTCATGTGAAAAGTGGCCATATTGCTTCCATCCTCGTTCCACATTATTTCGTTTCCATTCTTGACTATGGCTGAGGTACATCGATGCTCGTTCCTATAGGACGTGAGGCTCCAATGGAAGGTATAGTAGCCCGCCGACGGACAGGTGAATACCCCGGTATTACTGTTGTAACCTCCTCCTACGTTTATCTTTACGGTTGAAAATTTGACTGCGCTATTTTGGAAAACTGTCGGGGCATGAAAACCTATATCTGGCCAAAAACTGAAAGTTTGCAATGGCACGGCAAGAAAAACAATGGGATCCATAATTCCTGAAATTAGAATAATCATGAACTATTTCAATATTTACATCTCTACAAGACAAACTTATCAAATTTGGAAAGAAACTTGGCTACAACATTAAAATTCTTTGTATCTCAACTCCCTTTTCAATATCAAATTCGCCAAGTATACCCGAGTCCAACATATACGTGCGCCTTCATATTTGTAGAAAGAAGGATATGGAGATAACGAACAGTATTCAATATCAAAGTCCATAAAACAATACAAAATAGGAACAGAGCAAACACGGACCTCCGAAACATCAGAGGTGGGATCAGGTGCCATGGAGGAGTGAGCATCCCCTGCTGACTGGTCACAACCGCCGTGTGCTCTCTGTCATGATCGGGAAATAACGGAAAAATCCGTCGTTAATTCAGTGTATAAGTATTGGACTAACAATTCGTTTGAAAAGAAATTTTTAGTTTGTTACAATATACCTTGGAGCTTTGTTTGTAAGCTGGTCTGTTTATTTGTGTTTGCATTCACGGTAGTTTCTAAAGTCCTTACGCTGTTGGCAAGACTGGTGAGACTTAACTGCAGCTTGGTAATTTTCTCATCATTGGAGGATTCGTTGCGTTTTAGAGTTTCTATCATGCTAGTGTGAATATTTTCCTTTTCTTGGAAGTATCGCTGAAGGTTGGCTATATCAGATTGGTTCAATGCCAAATCACTCAAGGATGTCTTTAGATCTCCCAGTTTTCCCAGAACTTCTTGTTTGTCAAGATTTTGCCTATTGTCTAGGTTATTAATGCTCAACAAAGCACCTTTAATTTGGACTGAAATATCATGAAATTGTTTCGGAGCTGTTTGGTACACTTGGAGCAGTTTCTGGTCTGTTGAATTCATGTGTTCTATTTCCTGATCGTATTTCATTTGTAACAGATACCTTTGCCTTTTCTCGTCTGCTAGCTGCTTCTCCAGCTCATCCAATCTCTCTGACACACTTAAATGATGAGTCTGGTTTTGGTTAATTAGAAGTCCCTTTGCTCCAAATAAGAACACACTAAAGATAAGTAAGTACAAATCCATGTTGTTCCACTACCAAGGTAAATTAAACTGACACCTCGTATGAATTCGTAGAGGATGAAAACCTAACTGACAAGAGAATACATGTTAGTTGATTTTTATACCGGTTGAAGTCATATCTTTTAAAGTACTTGTATCTTTGAAGATTTTGTGTTCATTCCCACGACATCTAACCATGAATTATCTCAACTTCCTTGTTAAGGAGTCTCATTTTAAATTCTAGTATCTCAAAAAGGACCAACGTGATGACAATATTTGGGAGGGTCAATGGTCTGAATGGATATAATGTAATGTGTCCAGCATTTTGTGCTTTTTCAATTAAGTCGAAATGATCCTATTTTACCTCACCAAGGTTGATAGCAAGTGTGGATTTTCAAGTTTTCGCATATTTGCAAATTTCTTCACAACCAATAGTTTTATGTTATCTAAACTATTTTATTTTATATACTCATTAATTCACTTTCATTATTACACAAACTCTTTTTACTTTTAACTATAGATTAAAATTTAATTTTTAAGCTTTTGGCGTAATTGTCCCTTCAATAAAACCATGTATTTTCTGCACTTTCGAATGAACCTTTGATTTATAAGATTTGGGCAGGAGTCGCATTTTCCTTAAAAAAAATTCAAAATGTCATTTTGTCAATTTACTTTCTACATTTATGTATACATGTAGTTCAAATTAATATAAAAAAAAATATTCAAAGAGCTCATTCAATATTTTACAAACATTTTAGTTAGTTGATCTGGTTAATCAATGAGTCAAATGCTATACGCACAGACCGGGATTATTTGTTTTGAAAAACAGTTAAATTATATTTTTAGCATCGAAAATTTACTTCTACGAATGAAGAAAACAGAAGCACTCAAGCTGATGCTCATTGACCAGGGAGCCTGATTTGAAGTGAAGCTTCTACAGGGATCTTTTAAGAAGAAAAAAGAAGTTGAAAGTATCTTTTAAAAACTCGTATGCATACAATTATTATTTACTGCATAAAAGAGAGTACATGTAAATTGAAACATAATTTTGAATTTCTGTGAATAGCACTTTGCTCTCTTTTTTATAAGTAGATTTTGATTTGGATGCGTATCCCCTTTTTTTGCTGAAAGATTGATCATACGTAAATTCCAATTCCATTTGAAAAAAGGTGATCGAAAAGTAAGAAAAAAAAACCTCATTTGCCTCCTCCATCAAAAATGATATTTAAGAGTTGATACATTTTATTATATTATTTTTTTTAATTTATTTTTTGCTTGTTACTTTTTACCACTCCCTCCTACCCGATTTGAAAACCGGTACTAATAACGCCAGTAAGCTAGTAGGCCAGTAAGATGATTGCTTGAGAAAGCAAAAGTTAAATCTAATTATTTCAGTACAGTTCATGCATTATAGACACGTCGCTTACTTTGGTATTGCATGTATAGTTACAATATGGAGAAAATTTTACTATTGTTTTCATTAAAAAGATACATTTTTAAGAATCTTTGTGCAATGCCAATGTATCAAATGGATTCTGTTTTTTAATTTCTCCCTTTTTCTTAAAAAGTCAGTCTAAAAGTACTTCTGTTAAAATGTATCAAATTGATTTTGTATAGTATGTCAAATCTAACAAAGTTAACAACATTGATTGATTCATCCATCTTCGAATACTTTAAATTACGCACTTTTCGCACATTTGTGACTGTTTCGTTTTGTCAGCGAACAGCTGCTTGTGTTTGTCATTAATTAATCAACATAAAAGAATCTCAAAATATGTTTATTTTCTACAATTCTTTAAAAGATCAGAGAATGTTACCAAGAAGTATCCATCTTTTTGTTTGGTTTGTTTATTCAAACACCCCAGATGCCGACGGTGCGTAAAGGATCAAATCATACAGGGTTAATGCGGGTGGGAATTAATAATCTTATATAAGTTTCCTTTTACATTTACTTGAAATTTACATAAAAAATAAAATACTTTTCATTTTATTCCAAAAGAAATGGAGAATATTAAATTCCAGTATTTGCTTGAAGATGAAATTTTTAAATGAAATGTTTTCCTACTTAATTACGAAAATTTAGTCCCCTTCGGACACCCCTTGTTACAGGGTTATATAAAGAGTTGTCTGACCCCTAATCTGACCAGCCGTTAGATGTCGCACCAAGATGAGGCTCTACATCATTATCCTCCTCATCGCGGTCCTAATTCTCCTGGCGGATGTAGAAGGTAAATTGACACTAAGTAATCTTATTAGTCTCTAGATGATTTTTATTAATGTAAAAAAGACGAAATTTATTATTATTATTATTATTATTATTTTGTAAGGTTGCCAAAAGTGTATTGGCATGAACTTTTTTTTTCAAATTTAAGGGAAGAAAAAGAAAGGAAAAGGGAGAAAGCCTAAACAGAGTGGAGGGAAAGTTCAGAAAATCGACGGGAAACGCAAAGAACTCAACATAAAAAGAAGTGTGATTGGATCAAAAATTGATCCAAAATTAGTGAAAACTAAAGTAGGCAGCTGGAAAAATGACATAAAGAAAAGAATAGAATTAGCACGAAAAATCGCTAAGAAAGGAGGGAAAAGTAAAGAGAGCGGTGGGAAAAGTGACATAAAAAGGAGAAAAAGAAAAGAGAAGAAAGGGAAAAGCAAGGAAAAAATTATAATAAAGGGAGGTAAAAGCAGAGCAATAAGTGAAGAAAGGGGAAAGAAAAGGAAAGGAAAAAGTGCTGAAAGAGGAGGGAAAAGCCGAGATAAAAGTAAAGAGAGGAAAGGGAAAAGCATAGGAAAAAGTGAAGAAAGGGGAAAGAAAAGGAAAGGAAAAAGTGCTGAAAGAGGAGGGAAAAGCCGAGATAAAAGTAAAGAGAGGAAAGGGAAAAGCATAGGAAAAAGTGAAGAAAGGGAAAAGAAAAGGAAAGGAAAAAGTGCTGAAAGAGGAGGGAAAAGCCGAGATAAAAGTAAAGAGAGGAAAGGGAAAAGCATAGGAAAAAGTGAAGAAAAGGAAAAGAAAAGGAAAGGAAAAAGTGCTGAAAGAGGAGGGAAAAGCCGAGATAAAAGTAAAGAGAGGAAAGGGAAAAGCATAGGTAAAAGTGAAGAAAGGGAAAAGAAAAGGAAAGGAAAAAGTGCTGAAAGAGGAGGGAAAAGCCGAGATAAAAGTAAAGAGAGGAAAGGGAAAAGCATAGGTAAAAGTGAAGAAAGGGGAAAGAAAAGGAAAGGAAAAAGTGCTGAAAGAGGAGGGAAAAGCCGAGATAAAAGTAAAGAGAGGAAAGGGAAAAGCATAGGAAAAAGTGAAGAAAGGGGAAAGAAAAGGAAAGGAAAAAGTGCTGAAAGAGGAGGGAAAAGCCGAGATAAAAGTAAAGGAAGAGGAGGGAAAAGTGGAGGGAAAAGTCATAAAAGCAGAGGAAAAAGTGAAGAGAGAGGAGGGAAAAGGAAAAGTGGAGTGAAAAGTGGAGGGAAAAGCCATGAAAGTAAAGGAAAAAGCAAAGAAAGCATTATCCAAAAAATTAAGAAAATTCAAGGTTAGAATGAGATAAACTCGCATATGAATGACTTTTTACGATTTTTGAATCAGTACAAGTATATCTCTCTGAATCTAATTACATGTAGTAATTTAGACTGACTTAAGTATTAAGGTACTGTTTTTTTTTTTAAATTCTGTTCTTATATTTCAGCTTCAAAAAAGATTATTGTCTGCGAACGTTTAAAAAGAAAAATATCCTGTCCCAAAGGATCACGTTTGAGGATACTCGCAGCAAATTACGGGAGGTCCAGTAGAGCATTTTGCAGAGGCACTATTCGAACTCTCAAATGCGCCTCTAAGAATGCTCTCTCAAAAGTCAGGGGTCACTGCGATGGAAAACAGTCGTGTGAATTATATGCCTCCAATACCGTGTTTGGAGACCCATGCAAAGGGACATCTAAGTATCTTGATTTCACTTACAGTTGCCAAGGTGAGAAACTTTGGGGGAAAAGTTTTATTCAAGTACATTTTTATTAATTAGGTTCTTCTTAGTCTTCTTATGCATGAGATATATTAAGTCAATTTCCATATTTTAGCAACGCCATCAAAATTTCCAAAGACACCAGGTAAGATCAGTTTTGAATACTAGTAATCATTCCACGTTCTATACAACTTTGTACATAACGGAAAAGAAAAGAAAAATGATTTAAAAACGAATTTCTCATTTCCACAGTTCCGAAATCTGTAACAGTGAAGACACCCAACAGGTATTCATATCACTTTCTGACCCAGTACGGTATCACCGCTAAAGACAGAACCTGTCTCCGATTTGAAGTACTAGCATGTAACGATGCCCACATCGCAATCATGGACTCAACAAAACAGACCAAAAACTTCTACGAGATTGTACTTGGCGGCTGGAGAAACAGTAAATCTGTGATACGAAACACAAAGCAAGGTCCTCCCCGGGCCTCCTTCAGAAGTGGGTTACTGAGTTGTAAGGATTTCAGACCATTTTGGATCACCTGGGCCAAAGGTGAAATCAAGGTAGGTCGCGGAGGAATATGTGGCCAACAGATGCTTATGAGGTGGAAGGACCCCCGTCCTTATAAAACCAACGTTATCGGAATATCCACAGGATTTGGTGCTTTGGGAGTTTGGCGATTTAAACCTGGTAAGTGTCCAATGTTTGTATAAGCTTAATTGTATTTTCAGACCAGATCAAATTACAAGATCATTATAAGATACCTATTTTTGAGAGTATGGTGACATACAATGTGCTCAAACAAAGGAGTTTCTTTTTCCAGAGGAACCTCTCGTGTTGAAGAAGAAGACTCCTGTTAAGAAACCTTTAAAAGGTACCAACCATATCAAAACGTAGGGTAACCAGCAACATTTCATCACTGTAAAAACATCTTCGTTGAAGCTCAAACACCACCCGTAATTCATTCCATTTTTTATATGTTTGATTTTTCTTACTTTATTGTTTCGTAGATGTTTACCTCGGTTGCTTTGAAGATCGCCGTGTACGTCTTCTCGATCAAAATTTTATCCGAATGACGAAATTGACAGTATCCTCTTGTAAGGAACTTTGTAGGAAACGAAAGAAGAAATATGCCGGAGTACAGGTAATTGTGTGTTTTTAATATTCAGAGATATGAGAAATACTGAAAAATGCATTGAAAACAATTTAATTTTGATTAAAACCCTATTTGTTTTCAGCACCGTAATGAGTGTTTCTGTGGAAACACCATGAGGAGATATCCAAAGAAGTCGGACAGAGAGTGCTCGTATCCCTGTAGTGGTAATTCTAAAGAGAAATGTGGAGCTGCTTGGAGGATGAACGTCTATCAGTGTAGGTTTATATGATAATCTGGATATTTAAAGCAGTTTTTATTGTAAATTTACATGTTAGGTACCAAGGAAAAACAATTGCCATCTTTCTTTAAAAACATCATAAACAGGATTAAAATACATTTTAACTCTAATTATTAAAGTGAATGAACCAATTGCAAGTGCAGAACAATGTGGAAAATGCAGTAAAAATGCCAGATGTGTGAAGGGGAAATGTGTGTGTAATAGAGGTTATCATGGCGACGGAATAAATTCATGTCAAAGTAATTATTATTGTATATTCATTTACTTTCAATCACATTCAAACACATGCTTAATTGGACTTGAAATTAACGTTTAAATTGCTTCTTAGAGTCCTGTTTCTGCATGGCATCCGGAGATCCTCACTACAAGACCTTTGACGGAGAAATGATCCACTTCATGGGAACCTGCAAGTACACTTTGACGAAATCACTGACCACAGGTGATGAATGTGGGTTTCACATCTCTGTGAAAAACGAACACCGTAACGGTAAAACCCACGTGTCTTATACTCGTCAGGTTGACGTGGATACTCTTGGGAAGCGAGTCGGTTTACGACTGAAAGGAGTTGTACTGGTAGGATAATCTGACAGTTTCTTTCTCGTATTTAGCAATCGTTTCTTACACGCAAATGCAATTTTTTTAAAAAGTAAAACTATAGGCAGACAGAAATCTTCATTTTCAGATTGACGGAGAGAAGAAATTCTTACCCGTCAGTGAACTCGGCGGTAAGCTGAAGGTGTTCAGGAGCGGACGTTTTGTCCAGGTTTGGACTTCGTGTGGAGTTAAGGTTAACTTTGACGGTGTACATGCCGTGTCGGTAACGGTACCCGGTAAATACCGGGGAAAGCTGACTGGTCTGTGTGGTGATTGTAACGGTAAACGTGACGACATGAGAACCAGTACAGGACGTGACGTCAGGAGAGAGAAATCGAGGTACTCTCTCATCGGAAACAGCTACACAGTACAGGATGAGGAAAGTGAAGAAAAGAAGTATGTGTTCATGATTCTTTTAACGTTTAACCTTCAAATGAGTACGAAGTTTCTTTAAAAATACATGATCAGTTGTAAAGTGTCTTTTCTAATGAGATGAAAACGTCAAAATTTAAAAATGATCAATTGATACAGAATATAAAATATTTTGATAGGTATATATACTTAATTCTGAACTTTTTAAGGTGCAAAACATTTGAAGACCCAAACACTTTTACATGCAACAAAAAGATGAACACTCTGATGGCCACAGACAAGTATTGTGGCTGGATCCAAAACAAGAAGGGACCTTTCGCAGAATGTATCGCCAAGTTTCCAGAAATGTCCAAGGAGTACTTTGAGTCGTGTCGGATTGACGTGTGTTCGTTGGAGGGAACTAATCTAGAGGTGGCCAAATGTGAAGCGGTAGAGGCGTTTGCTGAGGACTGTGCAGATAACGGGATCACGGTCAAGTGGAGGACAGCAGCATTCTGTCGTACGTTTATTAAACGAATCATATACATGTATATCAAATAAATAAAGATTTTTAGAATAATGCTACCCTAGTTGAAATGTTTTAAGTTTTATGTTCAGGGCCCTTAGACATTTGTATTTTTATCAAATATAGAAAGTCAGCCTTACGGAGAATTTATATCTTTATCCAATCATTTCTATCAGAAGTAAAATAAGTTGGAAAACAGTTTAACTGCTGACGTACAGTGGCTGTGAAATTCAACACTTTATATTCGTTATTCAATATTAATAGTATGAACATGTTATTGAAATGTTATTGTAACTCTCTCTATGTTCTTTAAACATAATTTTAATCGTTTTACTGCATGTATTCATTTTCAGCACTAAAGTGTACAGACAAAAATTCTGAGTACCGAGCTAGTGGTCCGGGATGTCCGGCCACGTGTTTGGACCCTAAAGCTGAGGACACGTGTACACTGGAGCCACAAGAAGGCTGCTTCTGTAAAGCTGGGTATCTGATGAGTGACGGAGCCTGTGTTCCACAGAAAATGTGTGGATGTAAAACAAAGTCTGGTGACTACTACCCGGTAAATAATCATGTTCACATTTTTAGCTCACCTCGACGAAGTCGAGATTAGCAACTGCTAAACCCCCGACGTTAATGTCGGCGACCCATCGAGTAATCAAGTCTATTTCCAAGTAACTATGTGTAATTGGACAAAACTACTGTAGATGGTGCATACATTACTGGAACATTTGTCTTACTTATATTCGTATTCGCTTTGTTTTTTTTTTCTTCGTAAACACCAAAAATGTTATACTGGATTTTGTCTTTTGAGTTATCAATAATCACAATTTAAAAAAAAACAAACTTTTAATCATTAAAGCCGTTTCACAAAAAAAAAAGAATTGTTAAAAAACAAAACTTGATAGTATCTTTTATATTTGCTTTCAGGTTGGAGCCAAGTTACAGAGTTCTAACTGTGGATCTAGTTATATATGTAGAAATTCTCGAGGGAAGGCATCTTTTAAACGAGTATCCACAAGACTGAGGTGTCATAAAAACGCCAGGTGTGGTCTGAATAAAGAAGGCGAGAGGACGTGTGTTTGTAAGAAAGGATTTACCGGGGACGGATTCCGGTCCTGCAGACGTACGTTTGTCAAAAGAAAAATCTTCACATGTAAATACGTAAATAAAATTCTTCTGTGTACAAACATGGTGAATTTTTATCATTTTGTTTGCAGCAAAATTGAGGATTTCAAGTTGCGGAGGAAAGCAATGCACACGGAATGCATCCTGTCGTAAAGGAAAATGCAGGTGCAATCGAGGTTACCATGGGGACGGTTATGAGAGTTGTACAAGTAAGTAATTTAAGTTTACTCAAAATTACAATGAAATTGCAAGTATCTTTGATTATCTTATTTTTTACTTTTGGCATTGTTAGAGTCGTGTTTCTGCATGGCGTCCGGTGATCCCCACTATAAAACATACGACGGGGAAATGATTCACTTCATGGGAACGTGCAAGTATACTCTGACGAAATCTCTGACGTCAAATGATAAGTGCAGCTTCCAGGTCACCGTGAAAAATGAACACAGAAACAAGAATACACGAGTATCATTCACTCGGAGAGTGGACTTGGACATCTTAGGAAAGAGAATTAGTTTACGTCTAAAGGGTGTTGCTGTGGTAATTTTTTGCATGGATAAAATGCCCAGATTACTCTTTGATATATATTAAATGTTGCCCCCCTCCTCATAAAAGAAAGATCTTATTTTCTAATTTTCTCTCCGTTTACCTATCAAATCCTCTCCTGTTTTTTTTTATCTTTTGGTCGGTTGATTGAAAATTGACTTTAGCTTATTTGCATTGTTGTCAAAAAGCTAAGGACACGTTTCTTTATTTCTATTAATATAGTTAAAACCTACTCACTAAAATTTGTTTTCAGATTGACGGAGAGAAGAAATTCTTACCCGTCAGTGAACTCGGCGGTAAGCTGAAGGTGTTCAGGAGCGGACGTTTTGTCCAGGTTTGGACTTCGTGTGGAGTTAAGGTTAACTTTGACGGTGTACATGCCGTGTCGGTAACGGTACCCGGTAAATACCGGGGGAAGCTGACCGGTCTGTGTGGTGATTGTAACGGTAAACGTGACGACATGAGAACCAGTACAGGACGTGACGTCAGGAGAGAGAAATCGAGGTACTCTCTCATCGGAAACAGCTATGAAGTGGATGACGACACAAATATTGGAGAAGAGAAGTACTTCACTTTTTAGTTTAGTCCTTTTGCAACAGTATATTGAACAATTGCTCATATGGCACTCTGTAGTAAATCCCGAAAAACACGTTTGTAGTAAATGAAATAAATACTGAGAAATTTCAATTTGTTAGTACAGTAGACTGAACATAAAATTAATAATTTCTCGTTTTTAGATGCAAGACTGAACAAGACACGCCATATGCGTTTACATGTGATGCAAAAATGAGTAACCTGTTGGCCACAGACAAGTATTGTGGTTGGATCCAAAACAAAAAGGGACCATTCGCTGAATGTATCGCCAAGTTTCCAGAAATGTCCAAGGAGTACTTTGAGTCGTGTCGAATTGACGTGTGTTCATTGGAGGGAACTAATCTAGAGGTCGCCAAATGTGAAGCGGTGGAGGCGTTTGCGGAGGACTGCGCAGATAACGGGATCACGGTCAAATGGAGGACAACAGCATTTTGTCGTACGTTTATTCTCCAAAGCTTTTTTTTTTCATGGAATAATAATGTGTTGTTTTTTTTTGTCAAATGTATAAAAACTCTAACAAATAGCAACAAGTTTTCAATGCTGCGCATACTGAAAGTGTAAGATACCCTGTGGTTTTATCAATAGCTACGTAGCTTCCGTAATTGAGATACTAGTAAATATATACATGTACACGTAATTCCGCTTTGTTTTCACGTTTAACAATTGCAAATAGAAAGAACATAGAGAATTCAACAGTTTAAAACTTTTTTATGCAAGTATTTGCCTTAGATATGTATTTCAGTTGACTTTGGTTGACATGGTTTGGATTTAATATCTCATTTCAATATCGAACTCCTATTTGCAGCCCTAAAATGTGAGGACAAGAATGCGGAATACAGGAGCAGTGGCCCTGGCTGTCCTGCTACTTGTCTGGATCCAAAGGCTGAGGACTCGTGCACCGTAGAATCCACTGAAGGGTGCTTCTGTCGGGCGGGATTCGTGCTCAGTGATGGAGTTTGCGTAAAACAGGACCAATGCGGGTGCAGGAATGACAAAGGAGATTACTTTCCGGTATCTTACGGTTCTTTCGTTTAAAATTTCTGAAAAGAAACCACTACATTTAACTTTATATGTTTTATGGGTTTGATTTTCAACAAAACACGTTTTGTGAACATTTGACTTTTTACCAGTTAAAATGCTTGGATCTTGCTTCAACATGAAGAGGTAGAACATTTTTGCCTTTCTATTTTCATACGTAGATTGGAACCAAAATTCGTGCCACAAACTGTGCAGAAGTCTTGGAGTGTAAGAAGGTTCGCGGTAAAGCTGTTTTGGTGAAAACCTCCTCTGGTGTCAGATGTCACAAAAGAGCTGAGTGTCGTCTGGATGAAAATGGTGAAAGAAGCTGCGAGTGTAAGAAAGGCTTCTTCGGGGATGGTTTCAAAAACTGCCAGCGTAAGTCATATCTCGTAAAATCTAAAGGTTACCAATGATCCTTGCTTGTAGTATGGTACCTTTGACACATGCATGGTCATTTGATTATTTAAAAAATATTGTTCTATATGATCTACTTTGTAGCTTTATGTGGTGGTAAATATCGGTGTCACAAGAAAGCCACCTGTAAGAAAGGAAGGTGTCAGTGTAGGCGGGGATTGTTCGGTGATGGAGAGAACAGCTGTGAAAGTAGGGATTCTATTAAACTTCTTTTGTTCTCTCTTAGCCCCAATAAAACAAGTGTTTTAAAAACTAATTTTACATTAGAATTATTGATCAATAGCAATGTTGCACTTTGTAAGTACAAATTCGTGACCGTTTATCCATTTGAAACATTTTACTTGAATGAATGTTTGTCTTTCCTAGAGATGTGTACCTGTAGTGCTAGCGGGGACCCTCATTACAGAACATATGACGGTCAGATGATTCACTTTATGGGCGTCTGTAAATATACGATGACCAGATCTCTGAAAAAGAATGACCCGTGTGCTTTCAGTGTAGACGTTAAAAACGAACACAGAGGACGGAACAGGCGTGTGGCATATACCAGAAGTGTTTTTGTCAAAATATACGGCAAAATCATACGATTGGCCCCAAATCATAAAGTTTACGTACGTTTTTAAAACTCTTTATTTAGACATACATGTATAGGTTGCCTAAATAAAGAAAATAAATACATTACATTTGAAAATGATAAAGAATTCGTTGCATGTGTGTTATTACGAGGAATATCAATAATTGTTCGGGTATAAAATGATTTTACTTTGTCCAATATACGTTTGCATAGATAAATGGAGAAAAGAAGTTCCTCCCTGTCTCAGAGAACAACGGAGACCTAAAGATCATGATGAGTGGGAGGTTTGTCCAACTGGTCACAAAATGTAACGTCATGGTAAATTGGGATGGGAAATCGGTAGTACAAATTGGCGTCCCAAGGTCCTACGGCAAAAAGATGGAGGGAATATGTGGAAACTGTGATGGAAAGAAAAACGATTATCGCACCAAAGACGGTGCAGATGTTTCTTGGAAGAGCAACAAATACGTTCTGATTGGTAAAAGTTATGAAGTATATGACAACACGGAGAAAACATCCGCTGTGTAAGTACTCGGACATCTCCATGATAATAAAACACACCATGACAGAAATTTTATTCGATCTGTTCACTAACGAATGTTGCATTACTTAGTAAATATTAAATCTATTCTTTTTTAAATAGATGTAAAACTCTAGAAGATGATGTGCAATGCTCAAAAGAAATGTTGGAAGTAGCAACTGACAAGAGTCACTGTGGAATGCTTAATCCAAAGACAAGGAGAAGCTCTCCGTTCAATATATGCCTGGCTTACAAACCTACACTGGCCTCTCAGATGTACGAATCCTGTATCTACGACGTCTGCTCGTACTTTGATGACGTCACCAAAAGACAGGAGGCTTCTTGTCGGGCAGCTGAGGGACTGGAGGCCGTTTGTGAAACTAGTGGTTTCTTGGTGCAATGGAGATCATCTTCTTTCTGTCGTAAGATAAATTTAAAAATGTGCCCGATAACACCTTCTTTCTAAAATTTTATTAATTGAAATATTCAGTCTCAAGAAGCATATCATCTAAATAAAAATCCAATCGTTCATTTTGTGATGATGATCTTTACGATTAACACATACTAAATCTACCTTATCTCAGCAATTAAATGTGGAGCCAATCAGCGATACAGTGCTTCTATCAGCGGCTGTCCTGCTACATGTACATCACCAAATGCACCAAGTAAATGTGCCCTCCCCAATACGGAGGGATGCGAGTGTCTACCAGGGTTTGTCTTGAGTGGAACAAACTGTGTTCGAGAGAATGAATGTGGATGTCAGGCTGCTAACGGGGATTATATCCCGGTACGTTTCTTCTCCTCAGTAATGAAATAGAAAGATAACGAATTGTAAAACATTTCCAATTTCTGAAGCCCATTGAAAAAATAATGGGAGCAGAGCAAAAATAAACTTCAAAGGTAGGACAAGGTGGCATAGAGGGATTAAACAATCCCTGTCGACCAGGCAGACCCACCGTATATACGCTCCTCGTCTTGTTCTGATAAGCGGGAAAACTCCAGACAATTCAGCACGAAAGTTTGGGCATTCTGTGGAATCTTAAGATTTTTTTGATGGCTGAATTTTCGTGGAATTCGTCGGTACCTTTCATCCATGAATTACGTCGTATACAAATTAATTAAACAGTGCGAAAAAGTCTTGATGTTTGCTTTTATAGGTATAATTTACATAAAATTAGATCCCTGTGAACCTGAAAATGTTAAGCAATCCATGAAAATTGACCGTACGAATTCTTAGGTTTCTTAGGCATCTGATATTCGCTGGATAGATTATTTCTTCTTTAAATGTAATACTGCCTAATTTTGCTTAGTTTGAACGAATACTTATACTAAAAGTAAACTAAAACTATTGGTTAATATCAAATGAACCAATCAAATTGAAGATAGAAATATTCAAGATTACTTTAGATGAAACGAAAAATAGGACGATTCCAAAACAAATACCCAGTACATGTAATTACATAAGATAATTTATTATAGTAAACTTGGTCTACCACCAATTCATTAAGGACAATTCATTAAAAAAGAGATTTGGTTTTAGTTAAACGCCGTCATTGTATCATATGACTGTACTACGACAAAGAAGTGCGTCAGAAGGGATGGAGAGGCAGTTTTGCAGGTTCTTGGAACCAGTGAGCGCTGTCATTCTGACGGTTTGTGTGGATTGAAGGACGGTGTTCGTCAGTGTGTCTGCAAGGAGGGTTACCTGGGAGATGGAGTCAATGAGTGTAAAAGTAGGCCCAACACATAACTTAATTCGTTTGTCTGCTTGCTTATCATTCGGTATACCCTGCATAGAAAAATTGGATTATTTTGTTCCTTTCACTTACAGAATTGTGTGGTGGAAAACATCTTTGTCACAAGAATGCCAGATGTGATAATGGAATATGTCAATGTAACCAAGGATTATTTGGAGATGGAGTCTCTTCTTGTCAAGGTCATACCCAGCAACATTAGTTTTCTTTTTAATGTACTTAATTTTAAATTAGGGACTCGTAGCGTAAAAGATGTCAATTTGCGTTAAGTTGCAGAGAAGGAAACCCTCCGATTTTGATTTTGTGTCCTCTGAAGCTTGTTGTTATCGAAATGCATGTTTTAGTAAATGTAATGTACAACTTGTTACTCTTTTATTAAAAGAGAGAAACCATATATAATATCCAACAAATTTTCTTATTTAGAGTCTTGCACCTGCATGGCGTCTGGCGATCCCCACTACCGGACCTTTGACGGACAAATGATCCACTTTATGGGTGAATGTAAGTACACTCTGTCCAAATTTAATTCCAAGGACAAGTGTTCCTTCAACATAGAGGTTAAAAATGTTAGACGTCAACAGAATGCCAAGGTGTCCTTCACACGATTGGTTGACGTTAAAGTGCCCGGATATAATATACGTTTGCTCCAGAAGAACCAATTAACGGTAAGATACTCTTAAATAAGAATTGAAACAAATTAACGGGTATATCTTTATTTACAAATATGTTCGATCTTATGATTTTAAATGTATAATTGTGGAAAAAAAAATTCTCGTTAACAGATTAATGGCATAAAAATGTTTGCACCATGGACATCCAATAACGGCTTTAATAAAGTGACGACGAAGGGGCGTTTCCTGACAGTCTCCACAACGTGTGGAGTTGTCGTTAGTTTTGATGGCGTACATTCGGTTTCTTTATCTGTACCAAAACAATATGGTGACCGTGTAACGGGTATCTGTGGTAACTGTAACAACAAGAAGGACGACCTGAGGACAAAGACGGGTGATGACGTATCAAGGAGACCCAACAAGTACTCACTTATTGGAGAAAGTTACCAAGTGTTCGACGACCTCGCAAAGTCTGGAGAAAAGTAAACCGCTTTAGTATACATACATAAGACACAAGCATGAAGCTCTCAGTCTGTATTTTTAAATCACTTGAAAGTCAAACTACATAAGCAGAAAAAAACAAAATACAAATAAAACATTTAATTGCATTTTCAGATGTTCCACCACCGACTCTGATTTCAAGTGTTCACCTCTTATGACCAAGCGAGCAGCATCAAATGAGTTCTGTGGCGTTTTGTTGGATAAATTGGGACCATTCGCAAGATGCATCAAAGCGGATGAGAACTTGGCCAGGGAACTGTACCAGTCTTGTACTGACGATGTTTGTTCTTATGAAGACAAACCTGACTTTGCCATGAAGACAGCCTGTATGGCAGCAGAATCACTTGCAGAAATGTGTCTTATTAAGGGATTCGGAAAAGTGGTGTGGAGAAAGACCGACTATTGTCGTAAGATCTTCATGCTACTAGTATTTTCTTTTTAGTTCAGTCACTATAAAAACACAGAGTTCAAAATTATAAATACTGCAATATTTGCTTCATTGCCATCATTATTTCAGCTTAGGTCCGTTCCGAGAATGCATGGTCTCGGTTTCAGCTCTGTTGTGACCTGACTTTCTCTGAGAATACGGTGTATAACCCTTGTTTTCAGCTCTGACATGCTCTGACAATGCTGTATATAACCCAGCCATTGTTGGATGTCCGCGCACCTGTACAGATCCTAAAGGGGAGTCTAAATGTGATGTCGTTCCACAGGAAGGGTGCGAGTGTAAGGAGGGATACGTTCTCAGTGGAGAGAAGTGTGTTCTGGAGGACGAGTGTGGATGCTTCTTCAAAGATCAATATTATCCTGTAATTGCCACCTAGTAGTACCGTTAATATAGTTCAGTCGTCATTTAAACTGTATTTTCTTTCTGTCGTGTTTACATTTTAAGAATTTTTCTTTGTAGCTGAATTCGCATGGACCTTTAACAAATTGTGAAATCATCCAGACGTGCGTAAGAAAAGGGGGCATCAATAAGATGGTGCTGACCACTCGTCACATGACCTGCAATAAGAACGCCCGGTGTAGAAACGTTCTGGGTGACTTTGTGTGTAGGTGTAATCGTGGTTTTGATGGAGACGGCGTGAAGGAATGTACAAGTGAGTACAATTATCACTCAATGCGAACTTTAATTACTCTTCACATTTTAACTTGATATATTTTCTGTAGGAACTGATGAACCTATAGACTTCCCATTAATCCCCGAGGACCCGACAGATACACCTGGTACGTTATTATTCTATCTCACTTGTAAAAGTTCTGTAGTTATTTATAGTCATATATCAGTTCTATGAAGACGTTAATGCAAGCTTACCATTTGGCATTTGAGTTTGATTTAATTTTTTGTCCTCAATAAAATTTCTAGGTCTCTTGGTGCTGAGAACAAGCAGTACAATAAACTCTGTTAAATTATATCTATCTCTCTATATTATATAAGTATATCTTTACAAATATGATGAATTCTCTTTTTTTTAATCTGAATCAGGTGAAAGATGCAGAACACAAATAACTTACAGCACTTGTGGATCAACCATTAAACTTAGCGGAGACTGCGAATATGAATCTGACATATTGGCACAGTGCCAATACACGATTGAAACGGCATCTTCTAAAGGTCAGTTACAAGCAGTACTCGCCACGAAAGGCAGACGATCCCTTGTGTCACGTGGTAAAACGGTAGAAGAGTGCGTAAAGGTTACAAATGACGGAAGTTTCGTCACCATATATGATGACGTATGTCAGAGATGTACAACAGACTACCTCAGGAACCTCATTCCAAATCAAACATGCAAAGGTATTCGTCGAGATATTTTTATTCAAACTAAATCATAAGTATAATTTTCAAAGCTCAACAATAGAAGTCTTATATGATTTTTCATTTGTTGAAATTATCAAATTTATACGTACGTATAGATACGTACAACTTTAGAAAATGATAAACACATAATAAAGCTTCTGAAAAGAGAAAATACGTACATTAATTAATTATTATAACAATAATATCATACCAGATTACATTTTACAAGTATGTATTTATATGCTTTCAATTATAAAATTTTATTTTTGTTTTTCAGCACCCTGAATTTCTTATTCTCTCACATCAAACAATGGTGTATCATAAATGTATATGAACAAGATAATAAACATAGACACTGCAATATTTCTGTTTGGGTTTTTTTTCAGATCAAACCCTTCTGCACTTTTTTCCAGAATTACTCTTTAGTCAAACAGGATTAAAATCCTAAAAGTAGGCAAATCTTTTGAAAAACAAAAATAAGATGATCTATGCGCTGTAAAATATTTTGCATGAAATAAACTTTAAAAATATATATATTTTTCCTGACAAATTTTACAAATTTAAATTATGCTATTATTGCATCGTTGTGTTTATTTGAGCATAGAGATTTATATATATATGTGAGTACAAATACGAAGATCCGTTGGTGGGAAGTTACTTGTATTTGACAAAAACATCATCCCCTACTCTGACCCCACCCAGAGAATCGGGGGCCAGGCAGATCCCCATCACAGGTTTGGGGCCATAACGGTCTGGTCGACAACGAAACCTACAAAAGAGAAGTTTTTTATCACCAGTTTACCTACCTTATATGCTCCAAAGTCAAATTACTTTGAATACATGTGTTTTATTTTCATGTTAAATCCTTCGATGCCCAGGTCTTAATCTATATATAGGCCATTTCAAAGTAATTTGACAGCTCTTTCAAGTATGACACATTCATATTTCTTAACAAAATAAAATACTATATGGTAGATTAACATTGGTAGCAATCAAAACCAAAATTAGGGACTTATTCAATATTGTCAAATTCTCTGTTGCGGAGTTAGAACGGTGACACGAGTCATATGGTCCCTGATTCTCTAATATTTTACATGTAACTTATAAAACAAAATTTTTGAAAAATGAATTATTGTTATAACTTTAGCCTAGACAACAAATACTTACGTTCTCAGTGTCTTTAATGGTTCCTCTTCCTTGGATTTTTCACCTGTGTACGGATCAACGGTAGTCAGAAGACACCTGAAGTATACAGTGGGAAAACTCGTGTTTTATATGGGCAATCTTCAAATCTTCATCATAGAATGATAAACTCGTCTTATATAGTGACAATCTTAAAATCTTCATCATAGTATGATAAACTCGTCTTATATAAAGACAATCTTAAAATCTTCATCATAGTATGATAAACTCGTCTTATATAAAGACAATCTTTAAATCTTCATCATAGAATAAGAAACTCGTATTAAAAAGGGACGATCTTAAAATTTTCATCATATAATGATAATCTCGTCTTATATAGGGACCATCTTGAAATCTTCATCACAGAATGAGAAAGTCGTCTTATATAAGGGCAATCTTTCAATCTTCATCACAAAATGAGAAAGTCGTCTTCTATTGGGGCAATCTTTCAATTTTCAACACAGAATGAAAAAAGTCGTCTTATATTTGGGCAATCTTTAAATCTTCATCATAGAATGAGAAAGTCGTCTTATTTGGGGCAATCTTTAAATCTTCATCATACTAGAATGATAAATTCATCTTATATTAAGACAATCTTTAAATCTTCATCATAATGGACTTTTGCGAAAAATACTGACTTTTACAACCGACGACTTACTTTTACACTTGGACAATATAAGGAAGCTCTTTAGCAATTAAAAAAATTAGCTCAACGTTCAATAAAACGAAAATAACAGGCTGAATTAAACTCATTTAAGTTGCTCAAGATGAATCCGACAACCACCCTACAACCGGCCTTCAAATGTTCCCTTAAACACAAAACGTATGACCACTAACAATGTTCTCTTGTCTATTATTGGTTTTGTACCTCCATATATGACAAAGATTTAAATGTCGAAGTAAATCGTCAACTGTAAAAGTCAGCACTCTTCATAAAAGTCCAGTTATTAATAAAAAGAATAAGAAACTCGTCTAATAAAGGAACAATCTTTAAGTCTTCGTCATAGAACGAGAAACTCGTCTTATATAGTGGCAATCTTTATATCTTCCTCATAGAATGAGAAACTCGTCTTAATTAGGGTCTTACATTGTGGCAATCTTTAAATCTGAACATTATAGAATTTAGGAAAAGTACACCAACCTCGTACAATCGTCAATATTCCTGAATTTGACATTGCCAATTTTAACCTCCCTCCAATGTTCCTAAAGAGAAGTAAAACTTTTGTTAGATGATGAATTAATATTAAAGGACATCACTTGGATGCAATTCTTTTAGGTCTAAACTAAATTACATGGAGTTAAAACTAGTTAAATCCTTTTAATTCGTTGAGACAAATTAAATCCGATACCTCGTCAAACGCCTCACAGCCCTCCACGACGAAGTTTGGTCGGAAGTTGAGGATGTAGACAGGTTTCTTGAGTTTGCTATTGAGGACATCCATAGATTTTGCAGACATCAACATATAACTTGAATAGTCCGAGAACGCCAGCTGCCAATTAGTTTTCAAGTTTGAATGAATGATTTCTATATTTTAATCTTGGAAGCACTAGGTACAATCATATGTCTTCTTTACTTACCATATCGCCCTTTTTAGCATTATGCTTCCACAATTTCTCTGCTGTTATGGCGTCCCTTTTCTGTAAGTCGGGAGCGGAGAAGCCGACTTTCAGCCCCTGTCGTCCGAGATATTTGTTAATCCAGGCGGCAGCCTTCTCCCCGCAGTCCAGAAACTCGGTAGTGTCCACTTTAATTCTAAAATTATTAATATTTCATAAGGAAATCAGCTTCAAAATGAAGGATGTATTTGAATATTATATATACATGTATCATTTTCCACGGCGAGATAATAAAGTTGAATTTATCGAATGATTGTCTAGTCCCAAAAAAGCTACAGTAATTTTCCTCACTAAAGTTATTGAATTACTTCTATTAAAAACAACAAACTCTTACTTGACATTGCCGACTTGGGATCTGACAGTCTGGGGTTTAGTGGACAGTTCTAATGATGGCATTCCAGGAGCTTCCAGGGTTAATGTGTTGCCTTGGAGACGGAGCTTGATGAGCGCCATTTTTGGTTCCTGTCTCTGTGTGACATAGCCGCCATCAGGTGAAACGATGACCCAAGTCCTAATCAGCAAAAGAAACAGACAAAACGATGACCCAAGTCCTTAATCAGCAAGAGAAACAAACACACCAAATTAAGATCAGAAGCTGAGCAAACACCGACTCTAAAACACTAGGATTAAGTGGGATCAGGTGCAATGGAGGAGTAAGCACTTTTAATAGTCACACTCGCCATGAGCTCCTTGTCACATGGGGCAAACGGAAAAATCCGTAGACAATTGAGTGTGTAAATAATGGTTTCCAAAGTTGTATGAAAAACATAAATCAGCATTCGGTTACATGAGAGCTGTAAATTTAGTTCTTGTTTACAAGGTCATTGTACGTATCGACCGTATATAACTCGCGAAATGATGACTTTAAAGGAGACTGCTGATATTCTTGTTTTATCAAATTGTTAGCCAATAGCTTGCCTAGTTTTAGAATATGATCGCACGTGAAGCATGCTCTTACGTATCGAATCACAACCCCATAGGCAGATGATAGGCAACGGTATAAATGGGAAGTTTGAAAAGTTGAAGGCATCATGTTTATTCTAAGGCGTCGGAACCGGAGGGGGGATTGTTTTGCAAAGATAGACATAATATAGGCATTGGACATTGGGGCTTAGGTTTAGCCCCCACCCCTCCACTTTCAACAGACATGTTATAAATGTACGTGTATAAAGTAAGAGAAGGGTAGGTGGTTGTGTTTGAAAAAAAAATGAACAGAAAGAAGTTTGATCCTAAACCCCCTCCTACCCCCACCCCCGGTTTTGGGGGTTGGACTTGTCAATGAGATATTGGACTTCTATATGGACACTGGCGGGTTTTTTTTTTACGTTTCACTGCTAATTAACATGCAGTACCAAAACATGTCCATATGAAAATTGAAAGGTATAGCAAATATCTATTGACTGTGTTCTCAAGAAAAAAGCATTTGTTCCACCCTTGGACCAAAACTTTTTGCCTTTGACCTAACAGACCCAGGCAGTGGGTTTGGTCATTGGCCCAACGCATTTTGCGTCGAACCCAGTCATTATGAACCATCTTCGCAAACTAAGGGATTTTCGGTCCGCTCCCTTGGCTTACAAAGATGTTATTGGACAGTAAGCTACATGACGGACCGTGCTTCCGTATAGTTGTATATAATCGACAGGTGTAACATGTTGAATCACGTGTTGTCAGGTACGCTGATCATGAGTGAAGGTGAAAAAACTTACCTGTCGCCGATTCCACCATAAAACAGCCCTGTACGTTCACATTGTCCCTTTTCTACCTTTAATCCTCCGCACGATTTCACTGGCCATACATGCAGCTCGGAGATTTTACCTACATACACAAAGTCTTTGCTAGCTATGTAGGCAGCACTAAGGTGTTTAATTAGAGCACCTGCCGCGAGGGTACCGAGGACTGTCGCAGGGGAGAGATCTGACATAGCTCTATTTTATGAAACTGGCACAAAATACTTATGCCCTAAAGCCTCTGTTTACAGGTGCTCGATTTTGATTTACTACTATTTACGTACGGTGGGCTAGAATCGCCATAACATTTATTTTGCATAGCACAGAGACTTACTGAAGGTTTTTTTCGCTGGTCGGAAAGGCACGAGAAGTTGCGACTGGGGGAAAACTGACTCAGTTGAATAGCTCTCATTAATTTTAACATCATTATGAAGTTTGATATACATATTTCTCTAAGTTCCATTAGAATTAAATAAAAACAATGCAAATGGAGAAGTTTTTTCCTTTGTCCCTATAAGAATTTTACGTTCATATTAAATTTTGTTTGTCTTTTCCAACGGCTTGTAAAGGTGTACAACTCGAGGGGTGCAACTAAGTTACTCTATCAAAACCTCAAGTTAATGCCTACCGTCTCAATTAGGTTCTGCAAGCTAGTCACATGACACGCCTCCTCGTATAGTGACCCTGGAAATGCTTTTGAACAGTAGCTGAGTGACAATGGCAAAAGGCGAGTTTCCAGCGCCTTCAAATAACTGGAACCTGTGACTAGGGAAAGGAAAAACCACCGGTCCTCCGGGTCCAGGGGGTTTTGCATAGGGTTATCATGTAATTAAAAACTCTCAACGCTACAGAAACCAGAACAACAGAAGAAGAAATCCAACGCTCGATTCAGTGAGAAGCCCCACCTAGAGGCCATACGAAGCAGACTGGTGAAAGCTTAGCTGCAGATCTGTAGTTCTCCGGGAAAAAAATTGACAGACCGTAGACCTACAGTTCCACCCATTGAAAAAACTGTTAATTCATTGCGCACAATAAAGCGCGCTGTTTCTCGAAGTTATTTTTTACACGAAACTGTAGGCAGCAGTGGATAAGGCACCAAGACAAAACATCAAAATCTTGATGGGCGACATGAATGCCAAGACAGGTTCAGACAATTATGGGAGGGAACTCATCATGGGTACCCAGGCACTTGGAAACATGAACGAGAATGGAGAGCTGTTCAAAGATTTTTGTGCATTCAATGACCTTGTGATAGGAGGAATTAAGTGTCTACCAGCACAAAAACATCCACAAAGAGACTTGGATTTCCCCTGATTGAAAAACCAAGAACCAGATAGACTTCATTACTATCTCAGGGAAGTGGAGACGCAGCCTGCTTGATACAAGATCAAGAAGGGGGCTGTGTAGCTTCAGATCACCACCTAGTACAAGGCACTAAAAAGTCAAGTTGAAAGCCTTGGGTCGCCCGCGTGGCGCAGTGGTTAGAGCGTCTGCTCTAGAGTCGCGAAGTAAGGAGTCAATCCTTACGTCACGGGTTCGAATCCCACTGTGGGACGTGGAGACCGGTCCTTTGGATGAGACCGTATAAACCGAGGTCCCGTGTCGCAGTAGGTGCTGGCACGAAAAAGATCCCTTCCTGCTCAATGGCCCTGAGTGCCGAGTATAGGACAAAATTTGCAGCTCTCCACCGGCAAGTTGTGGCGTCTCCATATGAGTAAAAAAGGGACGTTAAACAATAAACAATCAAATAATCAAGGACAACTGTGACAAACCACACATCAAGTTTAACACCCAGATACTTCAGGAAAAAGGCGCAAGAGACACCTTTAGCATCACACTGAAAAACAATGTCTGTCAAGAAACAATAGTAGAAGAACACCGGCACTCCATCAAAGACAACTGGAAAGACGCATGCGAAGAGATCCCAGGAAAAGAGAAAAGCGAGACAAGGAATGGCTTTCGGGAGATACATGATGACTGGTTGAAGGAAGAAAACTACTCAAACAGCAGATTATCAGCTGTGAGGAGGAACAATTTCAGAGAACTCCTAAGTCGTCCAACACCAGAAACAACACCAAACATACCACCAGGAGACTCTGAACTAGCAGTGATCACCGTCCCTCCCACAAAAGCTGAGACCATCAAAGCTCTGAAGAAACTTAAGGAGGCTGGGGGGTCAACAATTTAACCACAAAGTAACCACCAGATTTAACTTCCCATTCAAAAGAAAAAAATCATAAATTTTAGTTTTAAATTTTGATCATTTTCTATATCTTTATAAGCTCTCCCTTTAAAGGAGAAGAAACTGAAAATTGCCATCCCCCAGTGTGGGAAAGCAACTGGGTCTGATGGAATACCTTCAGAAGCTTTTAAGGCAGACATAAAGACTTTAAGAGATATGTTACTACCTCTCCTGCAGAAGATCTGGTCAGAGGGAAGGTACCAGCTGATTAAAAAAAGGACATTTAGAGAAACTACCCAAGAAAGGAGACCTAGGACAATGCAAGAACTGGCGTGGTATCATGTTCCTGTCTGTCCCAAGCAAGATCCTAACAAGAATATACTGGAAAGACTCAAAGATACTATAGAAGAACGACTTTATCAAGAACAGGCAGTCTTTATAAAGGACAAGTCCTGTACAGACCAGATCGCCACTCTGCGTATATAATCGAAGAGTCATTGGAGTGGCAGTCAACACTGTATCTGAACTTCATCGACTTTGAAAAGGTTTTTGATAGTGTTGATAGAAAAGTCATCTGGAAACTACTCCACCTTTATCAACCTCTTACAACAATTGTATGAAGAGGCAACATGCCAAGTCATGCACAATGGAAAGCTTACAGAAGCGTTTGAGGTGCATAGTGGGGAAAGACAAGGCTGTCTACTGTCACCAATGATTTTTCTAGTGGTAGTGGACTGGATCATGCGGGAGACAACTAAAGATAGTAAGACAGGAGTCCAGTGGACTTTCACTCAGTGTTTGGAAGACCTCGACTTTGCAGACGATCTATGCCTTATGTCCCAGAAGTATGAGCATATGCAGCTTAAGACAAATAGGCTTGCAAAGAAAGCAACAGAGACAGGTCTACAGGTGAACATCGACAAGACAGAGGTAATGCGGCTCCACAACAAACAGCAAATACCAATTACGCTTGGAGAGCTTAACCTAAAAGATGTAAACTCCTTTACATACTTAGGCAGCATCGTCACAGCCACTGGTGGAACAGACGAAGATATAAAAGCAGTGACTAATAAAGCAAGACCCGTCTTCATCACCCTCAAGTCTGTGTGGAGTTAAACAGCACTGTCCAAACGCATAAAACTCCGTATCTATAACACCAATGTTAGTCTGTGCTCCTCTACGGGTCTGAAACATGGAGAGTCACCAACAACCCTTCGCAAACAGATGTCTACGCCACATACTAAACTTCAGATGGCCAGAAAATATAAACAACAAGAACATGTGTGAAACATCAAAGCAAGACCCAATCACTTAACAAATAGCCCGTAGATAGTAGCGGTGGATTGGACATACCCTCCGAAAACCATCAGGAGACATTACACGCCACGCACTCGAGTGGAACCCCCAAAGCAAACGTCGAGTTGGGCGTCCCTTGTGAAGAGGAAATCAGACAGAGTGGACATAGCTGGGAAAAAACTGGGGAAAAAAGGCTGCTCAAAACAAAGTGCAATGGAGAACTGTTGCCGAGGCCCTATGTTCCACCAGGAACCAAATGGAACCATGCTGATTGAATTTTGTTTGGTTTTTTTTCTTTGCAAATTGTTTAACGTCCTTCTCCGCGTCAAGAATTTTTCACTCATATGGAGACCCAACCACTTGTCGGTGGCCATGGAGAGCTGCAAAGTTGGCACTCGGGGCCACTGAGCAATGAGGGATCTTTTTAGTGCCAGCACGTACTGCAACACGGTCTCATCCGAAGCACTGGTCTACACGTCCCACAGTGGGATTCGAACCCACGATCCAAGGATTCAAGAACTCCTTACTCCGCGATTCTATAGCAGACGCTCTAACCACTGTGCCACGCGGGCGACTCGTGCAAATATTGAGAACAGTTTCATCTAAACTGTTTAATCCAAAATTATAGCAAGTTCGAGGTCATATAGAAAGTCAAGGTAAAAAAAAATGTCAGAATTGTTCCCACAAACATATATCAACATATATTTTCATTTGGAATAGCAAGGTTACCAGAAATGTCAAGGTCAGAAAGTCTCCCCGTTGAATAGTTCTAAGCAATATGCACTACTGTATCAATTATAATGTATCGGGTTTCTCTTTATCCACTGCTGAAAGTGGGTGATATTAATTTCGGTCTGTCTGTCTGAAACAATTTCGTTTCCATGCAATGTCTAGATGCCTTTGAGCTTTTGCAGTGAAATTTTAGACAACTCCCTACAACTATGGCCTAAGGTAAACCCTATTAATTTTGAGGGCAAGAGGTGAAGGTCATAAATTCTAAAATTATCTCCTTTCTTACACCTTCTTTTCAGAGCGATATCTCGAGAAGCATTTTGGGCTTTTGCAATGACATTTTATACCTCAACCCTCTATAGCATAAGGAAGATTCCTATATATTTTGGGGTCCAAAGGTCAAGGTCATAAATTCTTATTCTGTGCTTGTGTAAACCTTTTATTTCCAGGCGATATCTGAAGAAGCTTTTGAATTTTTGTAATTCCAGATTTTATGCCAAACTCCCTATGGCCTCGTCCCCCTCCCCCCTCTCCAACCCTTTGACCCCCTCATCCTAGATCCACGCATGCCCTTTTCTTTCCTTGAGCGGGGGACATAGATTCTTTGAAGTAGCTGGTTGAAACCGAGCCAACATAAAGTGCGGGGAACAAAGGACAAACATGATCAATAAATGCCCTATCCAATTTTCATATCAGGGTTTTCAAATAATATAGAGCTCTAATTGTACCTTCAGCCAACATTTGGCATTACAGAACCTTTTTACGTTAATGAGGAAATGTTCCTAGAGGCCATGGTTACTCAACCATAAAATTACTCGCATAGGTGCCAATAAAAGTTTGTCCAGGAACAGTGTTGTTTCTGCAGAATGGGTTTTAAAAATCTTTGCTTGAGTTGCAGACATACATTTAGGATATTGCAACACGTTTTTCCTTTACCAACATGAAAAACTCAAAACAAAATACAAATATCATTTATAATTTTTATTATTTTTCACTGTTTTATGTCATTTTATTTCAACATGACCGACTTTTTACAATGCTAAAACATTGACAAGGATAAAATGCAGTTGGGGATTTGCAGTTAAATACATTTACATCATCAAATGAGCTAGCATCATACTTATATACAAAACAGATGCCAGAAAATCATACAGACAAAATAACTGCAATGGCCACTTTTTCATAAATAATTTAAAATCTGTAATATATATATATATACATCCTTGTTAAATTAAATAAATTTTTGGTAATAAGAATTTCATCTTTACCTTCAGCTTCTTCCAATCATTTCATTTTGTCAAACAGAAGCAGAAGTTTAATTTAACAAGAAATGCGAACGCTTTCTTGAAAAAAAACAGTAAGCCAGTCCCTTTAAGGATAAAAACCTAACAAAAATATACCTGCTCATTTTCAATCCTAGTTTTTGTGGTATGGTGATAATTTGTAGATTAACATGACATATACTTATCTGTAGAAAATGCTGCCTTCTTATATTGTTTTTACTTCTTTATGCAAATTAAATTTTACTCAATGAACATGCAGCATAGCATTTATCGCTTTTTAATATCCTCTTTATAGAATGTTCATGAAGCTATTTCCCAGTAGTCTTTTTACTGCTTTTAAAAATATACTTTCTATAGTAAAAGATACAACCAATACAGCATTCACAACTGAACTGAACATGACACCAGTAAACCACGGAAACTCCTCACTCATATCACAAATGATTAGGATTTGATCCATGTTCCTATTTCTGAATTATATTAAGGCCAGTGATGCCTCCAGGAATGTACAATTTATTCCTTTAACTAAAGCTGAAAATCTGATGGAAGACAATGTGAAAAATGGCCCCTTGTCAATTCACACAATGTTGTTTTCTTGTATGCCACAAACATTAGGCCAAGTTTCTGCACATACCGACAAAACTAATTGATAAAACACAAAAAATGTACTTTCTTAAAAACATGATTGAATACTGAACAATCACTGTAAATGTTTAAATAATAATAATAAGGCAGAAAAAAAAAATCATTTTCTTGTATGTCATTAAATCAGACAAAAATAACATGCTATTCCTATTAACTCAATAAAGCCATACCTTCTGTAGAGTTCACAATGAAAACATGCAACCCTTTACATTGTGATTAACAGTAATGGCGAGGAATGTTTTTGTTTCAAATTTGATTTTCAATTTATTTAATTAACATTAAATTTATAATTTTAACGAGGTAAAACATCATTTCAAAGCTTGACACTTTGAACCAGCTTTCAATCCATCTGCCAATTTATTAACACGTAGACATACAAACACACAGACAAGAATTTCCCTCTGAACACCAAGATAGCACTATTTTTTTTTGGTGAGTAACTCTGTTTTCTATACATACGTAAAAGAGACTAGGAAACAGTCCATAAACATTCAATATCACAGAGAGCAAAGGTATGGGGGAGAGAGAGAGAGAGAGAGAAATTGTACATCATCTGTTTCTTGTGTGTTGTATAGACTTTTGTTCATTATGCAGTAAAACACATCAATGCAAGACAAGCTGTATGCTTCAAGCATCGTTTCTCACAGCATGTGTAGAGCCATTCTTTATGAATCACAGGGATAGATAAGAGCACCCCGACTGCCTGCTGTATACCTACAGATGAGATCAGTGTTTCTGTTTGGCTGGAATCGGCCAGCCATCCATAGACCTGAATGCTGCTCAACCACAGTGCATTTTATCACTTTGGTGGTGCATGCTTGCTCTCTTAACCATAGTAGTTAGTGTGTGTTTCACTGTCTGCTACGTGGATAGTCGAGGTCGTTTTGCATTAGGAATTTCTTCCTCTTCTTCTTCATCCGAATCCTCATCAGGATAGTCCACCAGTCCTATTAAGCCCAGCTAACAATAGAAAATAAACAATCTCTATCAACATTGATACGTCTACTAAAGGCGCAAAGTTCATACAAGAAACAAAGAATATCAAAGAACCTTAAAATTCCAGAAAATTTTCAATGACAATCTAATTAATTTTATCACTGGCTATCTAAATCTGTCAAATATTCGAGGAGAATGAACTATTTGTGACTTACTCGTTTGTTTGATATGACTGAGGGGTCCTGATTAGGGGATGATGCGGGGGTCTGGGGTGAGGTGTTAGGGGTGGGACACGGCAGCCCCATCATAGGACTGCCCGGACTGGGTGGGCTGCCAGGACTCCCCGGACTGCCCGGCGAGTGACCAGGACTGTTATTCGGACTGTTGGTCGTCAGCCCTGACTTTATGTTGATATTTATGGGTGATCTGTTGAGAAGCCTTGGTGGGGATTCTCGGGATATTGTTGATTGATCTTTGGCTAAAAACAGAAAAACCACTTATGAATTCAGTTTCCTTGACCAGAATTACTGTAGACATACTTACAGACGGTCATAATTCCGCAGTATCGCAATTTCTGTTTAATCCGTGTGTACAAAATTATGCAGATTTCCTAGACTGTCACTATCTGCCTTACATTTATATTAAGAACGCTTGGGCAAATTTCCGCGGAAAATTTGTGACCAAATACATAGCATAAATTAATACCATGCAGAAAAAGTACTTCTACAGTATTCTCAATTGTAATTTATGCTAGCAAATAATTTTAAAAATAATTAATTATTGTTGTTTTAAATCCAAACTATAAGTAGACTGTTTTTTAAAGCTAGCATTACCCTTTCTACTCTCCATAAAGCGGTTGATCTGATCAAAGTCAGAGTCCAGTTTGGACTTGAGAACATCGTTCATTGGCACCAGAGTTTCTCCGTCGTCCACATCGTCTTCCTGATCAAACCATCGCTCTTCTTCTTCCTCCAGCGTCCTGGACTCTATCCACTGCTGGTTCTTCTTGTTAAAGGTTGGCATCCTAGTAAACACACATCATACATTTATTAACTGTTAACACAAAGTGAATACACACAAAGACATAAAAACACTGGGGTATATTTATGCAAAGAACTTTTTTTCTTGGATAATCAAGCATTAATTGCTATAAAATATAAATATCTACATCAAGAGGTTTTGATGCTGACTATTTTTGTGACTTTCTATCTCGTGGCAAATAAATCAACTTTCTTTGCAAGCAAATTTCTCCTTAATAAAAATGTATGTGGAATTGGGCTGAAGATTACCCGTTGACTCTGTCCTGCTGTTGGTCGTATCGGACTTTTAGGGCTTTAAATGTGTTGACATAAGTGACTGATTCCAGATCTTTAATATGATGTTCTATGATATGGGCACATAATGCTTTGATGTCTTCCTGCAGAAGAAAATCACAAACGTATGTTACCAAGTTTTCTACACACTTGATGTATAGTGCATTGCAGTAACTTTCTTTAGAAATTATTTTTTTTATAGCAGGCCTTAATTCAATTCACTTTATTGACAATTACCATGTCGGCATACAGTCATGAACATGAATAACATAACATAAATTAACACAATTAAGACAAGCATATACAAAGTGAGAAATATGAGGTGAACAAAATTGTGTATTTCTCAATACTAATATTCATTTTTGACTTTCTTTTCTGATGTCAAAGCACTTTTTCAAGAAACAACATATCCTTCTAGCAGTTGAAATATTTGTAGGATTGACAATTTTTCTAATGGGGTTATCACTAGTATATGTGTTTACATTAAATATATCATTATAATAGCATCTATATTGATCATACTTTGGACAATAAAGAACAAAATGTTTTTCGTCTTCAACAAACAATTTACATAAGTAACATAAACGTTTTTCTCTAGGAATAGGGGGTTTACAGTATCTACCCGTTTCAATATATAGATGGGCACTGATCCTTAATTTTGTTAATAAAGATCTACAACTTTTCTTCAGGGGTAGTTTTAAATAACTTTGCAGTTTGTATTCATCTTGATTCACAATTTTGCTATAAAATGCTAACTTTCCAGAGTCTGATTTGCTAACTTTTTTCAGTTGTTCATATATCTTGTTTTGGTAATGCTCTTGTAATTTGTTTTTCAAAGTTATGTGAGATATTTCCAAAGAACTAATATTTAATTTTTGTAGTAATGAAGACAGTTTCTTTTGCCAAGATATTTTAGATACAAGATTTTTGTCTTCTTTAAATGCAGATACCACTAAATAATTGTTATAATCATGGTTGCATTCCATTTCCTTCAGTCTCATATAATATTTTAACATATATTCATAACATAAATAGTACAAAGGTAAACGACCCAACTCACATAAAACAGCAAGATTTGATGCCTTTCTGTGTACCCCTAGTATATCTTTAAATATCAAGTGCTGTGTTTTTTCAAAAGGAAACTGGTCTGAAGACATTAAATCACATTGAAAGTCAGTTATCCATATTTCAGATCCATATGTTATAATTGGTATTATCATTGACTGATATAATTTCAACATAATTTCAGCAGAAAAATTAACATTTGCAGGAAAATTTGATTTAATAGCGTAATATGCTTTTCTAGCACGTTCTGATAGCTGTTCAGCAGCAAATTTCATTTTCCCATCAGATCTAAACACAACACCCAAATATTTATATTCATTTGTTATGTTAATCATTTTGTGATTATAATAAAATCTAAATGATGCTTCATCAACAGATTTTTTTGAAAAAATCATAACATCTGTTTTTTCCATATTAACACACAATTTCCAGTCTGAACAATATTTTCCTAAAATATCTATACAATTTTGTAGACCAACTTCTGATTCTGATACAAGGACAAGATCATCAGCAAAAAACATATGATTATTAATTGGCATAGAATCTAGATAAGCAGGATATGTACTTACATTCTTGAAATAATTCACAAAATCATCAACAAAAATATTGAAAAGTGTTGGACTTAAATTATCACCTTGCTTGACTCCTCTAATTGCTTTAAATTTCTCGCTCATATTTCATACTTATCATTAGTTTTTCAGTAGTTTCTGTTTAAGACTTAACAGTTTAAACAAAATATTACAAAGTTTTCAGTAATTTTGAAAATACACTATACTTAAAATAAACTTTGACTAATACTAAATTAAATAAAGAGCTTAAGATTAATATTTCTCCTAAAAGAAGTTTTAACTCACTGTTTTGATGAATTCAAAGAGCTCTATCATTGCAGAATTAAGTAGATTGTATCGACTGCCATTTTGTCTAAACGCCTCTACCACAGGTTCAAAGAGACAGCCATTAGTTATGTAGCGGTTGTAAAACTCCTCCTTCAAACCGATTATTTTTCTCATGAACCTTAAGGCACCTGCAAAAGTTTTAACACTCATTAATATATATACATGCAACCTTGCATATCTTTTTCAAACATTTAAATTGAACATAAAGTTTTCATTACTGTAACCATTGTAATTTGTAAAGACAAACTAAAGCAACAGATTCTGGAATTTTAGCAACTGAAGTCTCTCCATTACTTACCTAATGCTACGAATGCATGTCCTGACTTCAGAAGTACCAGCACCCTGCGTAGTAGGTCTTTACTAATGATGTAATTTTTTATATGATACGTATGACATTCAACACAGAATGTTAATAATTCTAAGATCAAACTCTGCAGCTGAGCTGTCTGAAAGTCATCTGAAAAACGAACATCAATAATATATGGCCATCCTTCAACATTCAAAAAAATACCAATGACAACAAAATGTTTTCTATAATTTCTGTATTATTTTAACACAGGAGACAGATGAGCCACAGCTGTTCTTATATCAGTGAACTATCATTGATTACAAAATTCAGAATAACTGGCACCCAACACAAATGTGATTAAATGCTCGACTTCATGGGTCTTGTTTTGAATTAAATTGAATCTGCATTATGTTTCTTCTGCTGCATTATTATTTAATTGAATGAAATTATAAAGAAATCAGACTGCTTGTATTTTGTATGGACCTAAATAAAAATCAATGTTGTATAGATATATGTAATATAAAATACCCTTGCTTGGCTTGGCATCTACAGTATTGGCAAACAAAGGAGCTGTTAGAACATGCATACTTCTTTTGTAGAAAAATCCCAAGAACTCGGTTTTCTCTGTTTTCTGTAACAGACAAGAAATTATTATTTCTGATCTAAGCATAAACTCAGAAATGCTAATTATTGCAGAGGTACATTCAAAGATAAAGAAAATGAACCTACATTTGCTGTAGCCGTCATGTTTTCAGGGTCAATCAACAACTTGATGATTCCCATTAGCTGGACAGCTCCACCTAATTCTGCAAAGGAATGATATTTTTCTCAAGAATGCAATCATATCTTCCTTGCGTTTCAAATACAAGCTCCCTTCATCAATTTATATGGAGTATTACTTATCTCTTTGCAATATAATCCACGTACACATAAAAAATTCTTTGACAACATACAATACATGTATACATATTGTTGATATACATTGTTTACAGATATTATCTCATTAATGGTCATTGGAATATACATATATAGACTTACCTGGATCGGTGTCGTTAATCATCTGTTCTATCACCAAATTGATCAACAAATCATCCTGTAAAATAAGACACAAATTACAAGTTTGTGATTACTTTTGCAATGAAGATACAAAAAATTATATCATATATTTGCAGATAATTTCGATCTGCATTTTATAAATTTTATTAGTTTTAAAAATTAATTTTGTCTGGGATGGAGCATTGTCTCAAAAAGAATTCATCACTACTTAGTGAAGTAGAGGTCTTTATACTTTTCTTCACTGCTTGTAAATTTCATATGATAATTTCTTACATCATCTTTATTTTGGCCTTCCTTGAGAATGAATTCTCGAACCATGGACGGACTGAATTCAACAATGTAAGAGAAAATATCAATCGCTGCAGATTTCATTTTGGGATCATCCAAAGCCTAAAAAAGAAAACATCAGATATCTAATATTACTATGTCTATATTATGTGATCTCTTTTGTCACTGCATTCCAAGCACATTTTAGTTATTGTCTACAACCAGAATGTCTAAAATGTTCTGCTCTAAAAATTCACAAGGAATAATCTACAGTAGATCACCAAGTACATTTATAAATATCTTAATTTAAAGAACTAGAATTTCTGCCTAAGAACAGAACACTCACCAGAATGACTTCTAAAGCTGACAATGCCCCAAGATTTGACAAGGTCTGGAATAAAATTATGCAGTTGTGAACATTTGAAAATCTGTACATAGAAATCCCCTCCCTCCTTATCAGTCCAAAGTTTTATAAATTGTTTCTACAGCATTGAGAAGACCTTAACATTCCACTACATAAATTCTGACATGTGCCCAGTCAAGTCAGTTTCTAATGACAACTTACTCCCCGCCACCTTGATTTACACAACTGCTCCACATCATTACATTCTTTTTTATAACCAACATTTAAAACAAACAAAAGTTCTCTCTGTTTCTTGTTTAGAAATTCATGACAAGTCAATAGTAAAATTAGTATGCTTTTTTTTTCTTTGAAAATCCTAACCTCTCAGACCCTAAAAGATCTAGTTGCTAATGTAAACAATACAGGTCTGTTAAGGCAGTCTACCTGAATCAAGTCATCTATTACCTGGAAAAATGAATCTCTGTTTTGAGGTTGCAGAGTCTGTGAAAATGTGCAAAATTCCTTCAGAAATAAGACAAGGTCCCTGCGCTGGCCATCATCTGTTTCGTCATCCATAAGTTGAGCAAACAGACTTGGTAGAAATTTCTCATCTTCCTGGAATGGTTATTCAATTCAACGTGAAAACCATAAAAATTCAAAGGCATCGATTCATATTTGTGACATGAACAAAATTTTTGGATAACTACACACACGCCTATTTTTCAGCAGAGCTGACTAGAGCTGACTTGAACATTTGGCGATTGGAAGTTTTAATGTTTTACTTTGGTGTTTACTTTACATTTTAAATGAGTTTCAGTTCTTAGATCTGAATAATTATTTTAAATTCATTTATGATGACCTCTTGTTAAACAGCACAAAAAAATCTGATAGATATAGGTCAAGTTTATTTCCACAAGCTGAGTCGCTTTTGGGCTCCAAACATTTGAAAGCGAAGTTTGGCCTTCACATTTGCAATTCCTTTTTAATGTTTTACTTTCGACAGGTGTTTACTGATGAAATACATTTTAAATGTAAAAGTCCATTGTTACAGATCTATTTACTGTCAAATAATTTATTCATGCTGTGAATACAGAGTATTTTTATCTGAAATTAATTATTACACACATTCATTTATGATGACCTCTTGTTAAACAGTAACATAAAATTTTTTTAGAAAAAGAATATGATTGAAAAAAATCTGATTTAAAGATATAGGAAAATCTAAAATTTATTTCCATACATGATAAAGACACAAGATGGAAAAATATAAAGACCGCATACATGTAATGTTCATGCAGAAAAATTATTGAAATGTATTTATTAATAAGTTATAAACAATGTGCACGAGATAGAAGTCTCCCTAAATTTCAAAACCTAAATTGTTCCTATCCTCCAAACACAAGATTTGAAGGCATACATGTAACTTCAAAAAATCTGAGATAGATAGAACCTATTGTTCCTGTCCTCACAGTACGACCTCTTCCTTCTCAAAGAGCAACTTTTATAGATTTGTCTAACCTAATGAGAATTTTTTATCTTGAATTGTTCATCATAAATTGGAGAATTTTGCTTTTCACAGAAAAATTCTTTCAAATTTTAACCTGAATCAACACTGTGGATTTCATCTGAGAATGCTACAACCCACTAATACACAGTATCTGGCAGTCATTAACACTCATATACAGATACAAATATTTTGACCCTATGTGAAAAATGTCTTTGGCTGGTTTATTTTTTTCATATTCTGCAATTTGTTGTTTTTGGAGAAATTACTGATAGATAATAGATATATTTCTTTTTTTAATTTAAATATTCCATTTTTTTCCAAATGAAACCATTCTTCCAGAAAAGGTAAACATTTCTAAATATAAATCCCTACGGAATCTAACAAATTTTCTTTATATTAATCCCTACGGTATCGAACAAATTTTTGATGACCTCATTTATAATTTATGTTCATTTCCCATAATCAGAATTTTCCTTCACAGAGTTTAGCACAAATAAATAACTATCTTTTTAACAGCATCCCAAGTGAAATTCTACACTTGAAAGGTGAATTTCAGTCGAATTCACTAAATACACTACCTGAATCATTCCAACAATTTCCACTTTGTTAAAAAACACAAATGAAGTTAAAGTTGAGAGCATATTTTCCTCAAACACAGATGGGGTGGGTAGGATTACATCCTGAATGTACTGAACCCGGTAAGTCTGATGAATTTTGTTGAGTAACTCGCGATTTGAGATGGGTATAACTTCTTTAAACCGCACAGTCTTTTGTAAGTACTCCCGATGGCGTGCTGGTGTTTTCAGCGCTGGGTCATACTCCAAAACACCAACAACATCAAAGATAGTATCATCCGCAAACAGAATTTCAAACAACTCTGTCTTGTTAAGTAAAAATATGCTTTTGAAAATCTCGTAGAGATGATGCAGACCATCAATGTTTTCCAAGTCTTCACACATGTGGAACAGATCTAAAAGTTTCCTGATGTATCCCTCTGCCTCCAGGGCCAAAAACAGTTTCTCTTTTTGGATGGGAGTAGGTAACACACTCCTAAAGAGTTCCGCTATCTCGTCTAGCTTGCTAAGTTCACAGGGTGGCATTTCTATTGGTGGGGCAGCGTCGGGGAATTCCTCGTATAAATGATCCTCTTCTGATTCCTCCACTATTAAGTCCTGGGTGATTCCCACTGAGGGATCCTTCCCTTGCACCTGATAAAAGTAAGTTAAAGTTTTTAGCAACATCCTCCTTTGCTTTTATACTTTACATAGGAGTTACTTCTTACAAATTTATAGAAAAAATGACGTGGCAAATTTCATAATTTTTTAGCATCTCTCTCTCTCTCTCTCTCTCGATCACTCTCACACACAATTTTTTTTAAAATGTAGTAACTCACTGAGCAAATTTTTGTCCAGATATCATTGCAGCCATCTTTCTCCTGAAAACTCAAGGCCAAGTCATACTGGTCCGCCTCTGACCAAACAATCAGGGTTTCCTGTTCAAATATTAAATCAAACGATGTTTTTGAATAACCAGATGAAAAGATTTCTTCAGAAAAAAGGTCTCATGGCTATGAACTTTGTCTAAATTTTCCCTATAATCAGAATCCCCCCTCCCAAGATAGGTACTCTGTCTCTGTGACAAAATTCCACTGAATAGTTTTTAGATGCTGACAATTAAACATCATAAATACAGAGAGAAGTTTGATGTTAGATTAGTGCTATTAAATACTCACTTGTTGTTTTTGGTAAGCAGTCTCAGGTCGAATTCTGGACTCGAGTAAAATGGAACCTGTAGAGGAATAAAGATCACATCATCATTTACATCATACAAGTCTACAAGTACACACTTATCAAATATTTATCTACTCTTTCAGACATTTAAAACAAAAGTAAACTAAAACAAAACTGAAACCAAGATAAGGAGACATTTGATTTTTCCTGATTTTAATATGTTTAAGGCAAATCAAATGATTAACAGCCTTGCTTTCTGAAGGTGTGGGTCACAATTTTTCTCATAAACAACAATCCTCAAGATTATCATGATGTAAATAAACTTTTTTTTTTGTTTTTAATAATCATTATCTCTGGTAAACCATAAAATGTATAATGATTTTTTTTTTTTTACCTTGGAACTCATATAGTTGTAAACAAACAGAAAAACTTTATGAGTTGGCGGACTGCCAAATAAAAACCTCAGTTGATATAAATAAATCTCATTTTTAATAAACATCCTCCATCAACAACCAAGATTCCTAATTAAACCTGAGTATCTAACACTTAATAACATCTATAAGATCACTGCTAAAAATTAAATATTCAGTATTATTTGTATTCATGCAAGTCAAGCTAAATATGCAGTTTTATCTAGACAGTGGATCATATATAATTAAGTTTATCACTCTGTGATGAATAATAACCATCGTGATACCTTTGTGTGTTGAACTATCCTTAAATAATTTTGAAGTGATAGCATTATCTTCAGTTAAACATTTTCATTTTTATATTGATGTCCTAATATGCCCTTAATGTCTTGTGTATTTTGGACTTAGAAAATATGTGAAACAAATGTCGAAATTGTAAAATATAGTATTTATTTTGTGTACTATGTTCTTATTATACACATCACTTGAGAAGCAGGGATGTAGAGTAAAACTCTTTCAGTGTGAACATGGATATTGCGAATTCAAGGATATAGCAAAGTTTTATTATCCTCTTTATAACTATATAAATTTTACGAATTCCTTATACAGATATAACGAACTACAGATATAGCAAAGTAATTTCACAGGTCCTAGAGGCTTCGTTACTGTAGAATGATGGGTTGTCCGTCTGTCCATCTGTCTGCATGTTCTTCCATCATCAATTAGGCTTTAGGGTACCCATCTCTTATCTACAAATCTTTATTACATAGTGCCACTGTATACCTTCTAATTAATTTTTGATCAGAAACTTATTTTAGGTCTCCCATAGCTAAATGTAGACTTTGCATTTACAATCATATGGGAAGCAGGAAGCATCATTTTGTGAGCTACTAGGTCCTCACAATACCTCTAGTTTTTTAAACACTGTAGCATTCTCTACATCAAGTAAACTTCTATGCAGTCAGCAAGACCGCCGTAGACGCTCATATTTTGCCACGGGCGTACAGATCTGCACGTATGGACGCCCTGCTGGACGTGTCAAAATTTCCCATTAATATTCATATATTTGATAAATCTTTCTTAAATCATCCAATAGTATTGGTAGCAAAGTGTAAGAAACAAAGGAGGCAGACTTTGTCTCCCTACAGAATTAGGATGTAAGTTTTGATCTGGCCCCATTCACTCTATCGCTTAAACAAAGTTATAAAAGACAATTATTTTCTCAGCTAGCAGATTTTTGGCAGGACTGACACCTTTCACTAACAATCAGTCCTGCATTTCTAGCTAATTTTACAATGAGTTTCAAACACTGAATTCAGACTTCTTTAAAATAAGGTATAATTCTTAAAAATGAAATTGTAAGAAAATAATACTGGTACACCTACTTTTCAAATCATTGAAATTCTATGCAGTAAGAACATGCAAATTGTTTTTTTCCATATGACCACTCAAATGCTAATTGTGACCTTTTACCCATATTTTCTTTAAAAGCTGCTGAAGACATCATTTCAATAGAATCAAATTGTTTTCTATCAGATAGTATAGACCACATATGTCATGTGGGTTGCCCTCAAAGCTTTTGAGAAATGTGACATTTCAAACATTTTTTAAAATTTCCAAAAATTAAAGTGGGCAACTAGAAGGAATACAATTTCATAAGGAAAATAACCGTTGATGCCTTTTCTGCCTAAACAGAAATGTATGATATTAATGATGTCAAATTTCCAGATTTGCCTTCCTTAATGTGATCTTTCATGGCTTATCACAGTCATTTACTCAACTTATATTTAAGCCAGCTTCAAAACCGTTTGAAAACATTACACTTTGAAGGCATGATGAAGCCAAGGCCATTCTTTATTTCTTCCTTAAAACACATACATGTACTTTATCCAAGGTTTCATATCACATCTCCTTAGCAGGCATTGATCATAGGAACACTGAGATAATAAGCTTGAATTATTTTATATTCAGCTCCATAAACATTTGGATTTTTTTGTTTCTTTGAAAGATTTCTACAAAGTAAAAGCCTTTTATGCTTTACGTTATTCTTTATTTTTTTGCGCAATGGACATTGGGTAGTAAAGGAATTCTGAGAATGTTTCACAGAAAAATTTGCCTGACGTATGTACAGATTTCATTCTGAATTTCCTCTGTTCTTACACGTTAGTCTATTGTACTTGCGAAGCAAGCGCTTGCTATTAATCTTTTATCTTTTTTAGCATGAATACTTTTAAAATAAAGTTGAAATAACTAGCTGATAGGTGGACAACATGTTTGAATAAATAGTTGCAATGCAAAATTTCCCATTTTTAAAAAGGATATACTAAATGTGAGAAATTTATCATAAACTCTTTAATTCTTGTTATTTTAATAGGAAATATTCTTCAAAGAATTGATTTATGTTTCTAATAAACACAAGTAAAAGCTTTCATGTGATTTATAAGAAATGGGGTCCAATCGAACACAATATATTGCCATGGCAATTTTTTTCTAACCATTGGAAATGGGTTCGGTACTTCTAGAATTGGAGAAAATACTGTTGAAATAGAGCAAATGGGAATTTTCTGTCATGTCTTCTTTGCTCCATTCTCAAAATGTGTTCATTGGCTGTCTTCCTGATTGGTGATTAGTTAAAATTAACCCAAATAACATATACAGGACAAAGGGTTACTAAATATTAAACAAATTAACAATTGTCGTCTAATTAATCGTAATAGGCGAAGTCAATATGATTGAATCGTTTAGCTTTTCGTGTTGTAGTACAAAAAGTTTACAGATAATTAGCAGTTGCTTTGAGACCTAAATTTGACTCCATCCCCAGACAATCAGCTTTAAAAAGGTCAGCCAATGAAACGAGATGTTGCTTTATCTCGATAGAAATGTTTGATTCAAATAAAGAGCTAAAAGAAACACTTTGGTGCTGTGCGATGCATCCTATTCCTATTGCTCGCATTTTCACTTAGGAAAGTTGTTATCCACATCCATGGTCATTAAGAAATATTAAATACAAATGAAAGATAATATCAATTCAACCTGTTGTAGAAAACTGTTTGATACAAGGCTAGAAGAATTCACTTATGCTCATTGAAAAATCAGTCTTTTGTCATGAAAATTAATTTTACATGAAAAGAATTAATTGTAAATGCAATTTTTTGTCAGGGTATCCTACCTGACCCAAACATGTATGCCAATAATACCATCCATTAGATGTGTTAGGAAGTTATTATGAGGCCAATTATTTAACAGACTCCTTTGATCAATAGGCTATAGTCCACCAGTTTATTTTTATGCAAAAAAAATTTCAGCAATGATCAGGGGTGGGGGAGAATCTCAAACTTAAGAAATAAAAATTATTGAATCAAAATGGAAAATACAAAGGAAACGCAATAAAGTATGTGTAACTATAAAAAATTCAATGCTCTTTTCCTTCCTTGGTACATACCATCTGCTTCAGACCTAACTAGCAGGGACACCCCCTTCAGCCTCTCCACGTACGGCGAAGACACATGCCCGGTGCCTTTATCATCCCAGACTTTCTTCTCATCTAACAGGTACAGCTTCACTCGCCGCCTAACATCGTTAGCTGCCATTTTCTTCCTGACCAAAGTTGACTGAAGTATATCAAATAAAAAACTATTCTCTGGTCTATTGAAGAAGTTAACTTATTATTGAACTTTACCTTGGTACGCGATCATTAAATTACGACCGCCACAATGAAATCAGTTAAACACAGAGAAGTATTTTGTGAATAGCAGATCTAAGTAACACAAGTTTTGAAAAAATACAATCTTATTTTTCAGATAGAAACTTTTTGTGGCATGTTAAATGGAATACCTCAGATTATGCGCGTTCTTTCCCACTGTTTACACACTTGATAAACATTGCTGGTGAGCTTCAATGTCCGCCATCTTGAATGTGTTATTACTCCGAACGTGGGGTTCTCATTCTTCCGGACGAGGTTCCCGCCAGAGAATAAAATACGGACCAAAGCCGTTCTACTTGATTCCGGTATCCTCATATCGAAGGTGCTTCCAAATGTTTTTTTTTTGGTTCATGACTGAAAAAACTGAATTGGTTTCCACATAACAAAGTTTTGTTTAATCAAAAACCATAAACAATGTAGAAGTGTACCTACCATGCATGCTCTTTATGTGCGTTTTCCAATAGAACTCACGACCAAGACCAAATTTATTTTGCCTGTATTTTTTATTTGTAGTATTAAAATTGAAAATCTTTTTAAACTTTTTAAAAGGAGTGTAGTTAAATATTTTCATGATAGCAATTTTATTAAACTTACTCATTAATTCTGCAAAATTTTACAATCACCTAAAGTTTTAGTCATAGTCGTATGTTCTTTTGAAAAACGGGCCCCTGATTCCGTGTTATCTCTTACTTCAAGCTCACTGGGGTATAATACTAGTATCATGTAGACAAATGAATGGAAGCAGCTATGCTGATATTTGATTCTAAATGGCGGGTTGAAAACATTAATTAAATTCTGCTTCATATGAATACATAAATTATAGGCCTGCTAGTAACGGGGCGCAATTGGTACCCATGGTACAGTCGGTAGAGCGCTCACCCATAATCGGGAGGTCGTGAATTCGAATCTAGGCCGCGACTGTACGTCGATAAAAAAATGGGTAGCAACTGTACCTTCCCCATGCACTCGGCACATTGAACTGAAAGTTGCATGCGGGTTATTCAGATGAGACCATAAAAAACCGAGGTCCCGTGTCATGACAGGCGTTGGCACGATAAAGATCCCTCACTGCCCAATGGCCGTAATTACGATTAAAGGTCAAAATTTGATGTCCTTCGCCGGTACTCAGTTTTATGGTTACGTCTCGATGCGAGTGAAAAATTCTCATAAGGGACGTAAAACAACATACAATCAATAAATCAAGCACTTGTTTATAATATACATGATGCGCATACATGTGCGGATCTAAGGAGGAGGGGGCGCCTACCTTGTAACTTGCAGAATTTTAAAATTGATATACTAAACCTGGTAAAAACTTACCTTTGACCCCTTAGAAATCGCTGACCCCTTTCGAAATCGCGGATCTGTGTTAAGCTGGTATGAAAAGCATATCAACGACTATCCCCCTCCCCCACATACCATTAGGTATTACGTAGGTTTTACGTTTAATGACCACCAAATTTGACCTCTAGACCTTGAAGATTGACCCACGTTTTTGCAGATTTCACATGGTATTTATTGTGACACTTTGACCTTTCAATGGGAATAAATATTTTTGACCTTGACCTATGAGTTTGCCCCCCCCCTTTTTAAAAACTTTAAATTAATCCTTGGCCATAAGTTTTGAACAATCAGTACGAGGGCTTTCATATTTCACAGGTGTATTCCTTATTGTGATAAGACCTCTCTGTGGATTCAACAACTTTGACCTTGAATTTCGACAGAAAAATGCATTTGAAAAAATTTAGTCTGTGACATATGCTGCCATATAAGGGCATCAGTGTTTCTCAAACACATCTTGTTGTTATGGCTCCATATCGAAAGATCCGGGTATATTGACTTTTTCCTGTCTATCTGTTTGTCAACTAACTATTTCGATGTCAAAGGGAAGGCTTTAATATTTGACATGAGTGTTAATTATGACAAGACCTTTCCATTGGTACATAAATCGATCATGTGACATTTGATCCTCATTTGAAAAACTCCAGAATTGCGTTACCATATCGTGGGCATATTTTTTTTTAAACACATCTTGCTTTATGCTTGTCAACATTTTTTACACCCCTCTCTCGGAAAAAAAATCCTGGATTTGCGCTTGTGATGAATAGTACAACTCTCTGTTATCCTTGGACTTTCAGGATAGGCGTGGTATTCTCGACGTTACATAATTAGCGTCTGAAATTTACACGGCTTTCATTCTCTTTTGAAATATACGTGGGATAGAAATTCGGGCGAATGTCAACAAGTGTAGCAAATATCCAATAACAGCGTCTCGTACAGCAAAGTGGTGGGACTTAAAATTAAGTTGTCTCATCGTTGTCAACAACAATTTAAAAGTCCAGATTTATTTATTTCTTAACCAATGAGAATCTATTCCCCATTTGAGAGACGCTAATTACATAGCGCCGAAAATGTCACGCCTTATTGAAAGTCCAAAGATGACAGAGAATTTTACTAAAACTCAACGATTTATATAACGAATAACAAGAGCGCAAAAGCAATTTAAGCATACTGAGAAGCCTTCATTTGCTGGCGAATGGATAAATATTAATCTTTGAATGTACCCCCTCTGAGCACCGAGGAATCTCATTCGTCTGTCACAACATGCTATGAATTTTTTACCCCTCTATGACCTTGAACTTTGACATGCTTTTCAAAAAAGTTGCATGTAACATCACTTTAAATTGGTCACGGATTTTGAAAAAATACTATTTACAGTATACATCTACATGTATATTATACGTTTCATAAACTTTTAACTTTGGTCATAACTTTCGAATGAGAGGAGATAGTGCTTTTACTTTTCAGACATATATATATTACCTGTCAGTGTGACCTTTTTAAATATCCTGATTTTTGAACCCCTGACCCTGAAACTTTTGAATGACATACGATAGGGCGTTCGTATTTTTTTCACACGATATGCCATAGGTAATGACATCTCACCCACAAAAAAAAAACAGAGAGCGGGGGAGCACAATTCTTTGAATTTGCTAGTTTTTCATTACAACTTTTGTCGACCGCATGATGCAGTGGTTAGAGAGTCTGCTCTAGAGTCGCGAAGTAAGGAGTCAGTCCTCACGTCCGCGGGTTCGAATCCCACTGTGGGACGTGGAGACCATTCCTTCAGATGAGACCGTATAAACCGATGTCCCGTGTCGCAGTAGGTGCTGGAACGAAAAAAATCCCTCACTGCTGCTCAATGGCTGCGAGTGCCGAGTATAGAACAAAATTTGAAGCTCTCACTGGCATGTGGTGGCGTCTCCATATGAGTGTAAAATTCTCGAGAGGAACGTTAAATAACATACAATCAGTCATAACAACTTTGACAAGAGATGACTTTCATATTTAATATGCGCATTCCCTGTGACGTGTTTCTGCATGGGCATGCTAAGATTATTGACCCATTGAACGTCACCTTCATGTTTGACCTAATCAAAAAAAAAAGGAGGGTCAGCTGAAAGACGTCTCTTCCGAGTCCTGTTAGATTTCCATGGGTTCTGTTGCTTGTAATTAATGTAATGGTTTGGGCCCTGGATATCGGCCTGGATAGCTCAGTTTGTGGCGCACCTGACTGGAGATGCAGGGGTCCTGGGTTCGAATCACGTTCCAGCGATACATTTTCTCCCCTCCTGTTACAGATTTGGTGCCATTGACCACCCCTGGAATTGCAGGTTAAAGTCCCGTCGGGGGGTAAATAGAACTTGGGCTGTGTCTTCGAGGGGCAAGACCATTTAAGGAGGGAGGAATGTCATGGTCTGGGCCGTGGATATCGGCCTGGATAGCTCAGTTGGTAGAGCACCTGACTGGAGATGCAGGGGTCCTGGGTTCGAATCACAGTTTAGCCATACTTTTTCTCCCTTCCTGTTACATTTATTACCTCATTCAAATCATCACCAGATGCCTGAGACATTGCATACCACGAAACAGGTTTTAGCAATACAGTATATTTATTATCTTTTCTTCCATGTGTAAAAACAATTGTAACATATGAACACCTAAAACTTGTTAACCATGCGTACTTTGTCCGCTGTATGAGAAATTATAAAAGCTATGAATTTCAATGAAGTGTTTTGATTACAGAATGCAAACCTTTATCAAGTGAGATGTCATGATCCATTTGTTCTTATGCTCTACTTAATAAATTTGATCATTTCTTCTTTCTATTTAACACTCTTCAGATGTTGACTGACAATTTTATCAATATAACATTATGATTAAAATGAAAATGCAGTCTAGTATAATTTCTACATGAAATAGCTACATATGATAGGTTGGCAAAATAAAAATGAAATGAAAATGACACAAATACGAGTTACAAACTTCTTCACAACAATATAAAAATTAGAGACATAACCCAAATGACACTCGAGTTTAGTCCATGGCTTTCCTATGATACTTATGATGCAAGTTCACAGAACAAATGGTGACATGATTTCTTGGCAAATATAACAAGTTAAGAAATAATCAACAATTTGTTTAGTACACTGTGACATGTATTTCAGTCTTTAATTAGAAATATAAAGGTTCTGCTTGGTTGGTTCCTGGGGGTGGGGGTGGTCTGGAAATGCCTTGGCTGGGACCAGGTGGAGGTTTTTTGTAGAATCTGTCATAGTAGGATCCGGATCCTAAGGGCTCTTCAGGGGGAGCTGGGGGCAGGGGCTTCTCATAGGAATCATAGTAACCATTTGCTGGGTAGTCATCATCATAAGCTCTAGGGGGTGGTGGAGGAGGTCCTTCTCCTCGGGGGTCTGGATAACTGCAGACAGAGAATAAAAGTCAGATCACCACAGTACAAACAGTTACCTTACATCTAGCACTTTACAACATTAAAAAGCAGTAAGCAAAACATACTGATACTGTACATTTAATGCATTTTTATAGAGCATTTTTTTAAAAATTTATGTCACATTTATAAACCAACACACAATACAATATAGAAGGAATAATAATTATCAGTTCAACAACAGAACCCTTCAGTACAGATGCACTGAACAGGCACGATGATCCAAAGAAATATGATTCCTGGTCCGTAGATGCCCCCTGATGCCTGGCTCCTTGTAAACAGGCCATGACCCCCTTCCTGGCGGTGCCTCGTGGCCTTAACTGATCACCTGTTACTATCAATGGTAACAAATAAATTATTAGATATAAGACGCTCAATCAATATCATTCGGCGGGCAGCTATGATCGGAGTCGGAGACGGCATTTGACAGCTATATTTCCCAAGGGACAGCATGAGTATCAGTTATTAAGTCGGATATGGGATTGGAA